CTGTCGATCCGCTCCGGGTGTACGTTTGAAGGGTGGAGTGCTGCTAGACAACACCACATGAAACAACGCTGATCATTGTTTTTTATGTTTACAACAGCACGTTTCAAGCGATTTTTTTCTGGCAGGGCTATGTAACTAGACCCTTTCAAAGGCTTAAGTCGGTTGATATGTAAAAAAAGACATTCAATCGTTTTCATGTTCCAATTGGAGCCTTTGTGATTAAAACTTTCCATCTCAGTCAATAGTTTTTGTTTTGCCTCATTTAACAAATCTGATAGATTAGAATCTTCGTAAATGATGATGTTTTTCGTTTTGAATTCAAAATCAGATTCGACTTTTTCCGTAATCCCTTTAGCGAACTTTGCCTTAAGGATAAGTTGGATTTTCAATGAAGTTCCCTCATCACGAACCTTTTCAATTATAAGTTTTTTGGAATCTTCGATAAAAGTTTCAACACTTTTGTAACCATTTACTTTGACATTATTGATCTCAAACGTCTTCATTCGACCTCTGAACGCCGTTTTAGATTGGATGATTTCAAGATTAGGTGGTGGCGGAGGCTTACGTGGGACTTGCACTATGATGGATGGCTGAACTATGATGGATGGTTGAACTATGACGGATGGTTGGTTTAGTTGCTGTTTTTGTATCCACGCCGCTTGATGAGCTCTACTCCCAGTATGACGGGCCCAGTTTTTCCTAGTAATACTGAGGTGACATACATCACAGAATTTTAATGTTTTTGTATCGACTCTCCTGACAGGTAGAACCTGCACGACATCCGAAACATCTTCTTCCTGCTCTTGAATGTCCATCATCTCACTAGCACCTTGTAGTTGTTCCGAAATATCCAACTCACTATGTTGGGCTCGACGACGCTTCGGTGATGTAGGACGGGTCTCGTTATCGCTGTCGTTGTCAGTAGGAAACGACCGCTTGGTAGCACTTTGAACAACCGGTGACACATGATGTTCTCCGTCAGAGACCGAGGCAACATCCAAACGGTGTTCTTCCCTAGCACCTTGTTGTTCCTCAATATCGTCTTTATAACGTTGGAACCAACGACGCTTTGGTGGTGTAGGAAGGCTGTCGTCATCACTCTCGTTGTCACTAGGAAACGATCGCTTCGTAGCACTGACACTAGCCATCACCGCAAATCCTCGTCACACTTATAAATGGTTGAAAACTTACTTTTCACGCACTACACAATTTCAAAGACTCGAAAAATAGCACCTCTCACAACCACCTCTCAGAGAAGACTGACGCAAGACCGCGCGGGCTGTTGCACAATCGTCGAAACACATGACCATATATGGTAATGTTCTCGAACGTTCCAAGATGATCACGTGACCTATCACGTGGCATTTCCTTTTATGGTAATGTTTCTAGAACATTCCATGATCACATGATCCCAAGACAAGTGACGTCACTAAACACGGAACGACTCAACTCAGAAGACACGTAAAAATCAACATGAAAACAATGAGTTTCAAATGGCGTGTCAGTATACATTGAGATCGAAATACTACATCTTCATACAAATCCTCTAGTGAAAACATGAGCACCGAATGATGCAATCGACGCCATTTTTGTGCAGTTGAGAACCTATTGGTGGTCCTATATAAAATGAGATTCAAAAGCTGTTGTCGTTTTCGATCTCAACCGTGAGATCCTATTATACGACAAGTATACCAAATGAGAACTGATTTAACGTTGCAATCGGCGTCATTTTTGTGCAGTTGAGAACCTATTGGTGGTCCTATATAAAATGAGATTCAAAAGCTATTGTCGTTTTCGATCTCAGCCGTGAGATCCTATTATACGACAAGTATACCAAATGAGAACTGATTTAACGTTCTTTATATCTACACAAAAAAAATTGTCATCCAAATCAGAGGATCAGTCTCTGTCTGTAAGATCATCCTCTGTTTACATGTGACGTCATGGACACACCTCCCTTCCCGACCTACCTCAACCCACGTGGTCTACACTCCTCCCTCCTCTGTCCTAGAACGTGAGTTTCAAATGGCGTGTCAGTATACATTGAGATCGAAATACTGCATCTTCATACAAATCCTCTAGTGAAAACATGAGCACCGAATGATGCAATCGGCGCCATTTTTGTGCAGTTGAGAACCTATTGGTGGTCCTATATAAAATGAGATTCAAAAGTTGTTGTCGTTTCTGTAAAGTCGTCCAAATCAGAGGATCAGTCTCTGCCTGTAAGGTTAGGTTAGGTTAGGCAAAGTGAGGTTACCTACCTCAACCCACGTGGTCTACACTCCTCCCTCCTCTGTCCTAGAACCCCCAAAATGACTACTACTGTCGTTTAACAGAATTTTTCCTGACATTAGTTTCTTCTATATCTTCATCCATTATCACTCCTGACTCCTGAGCTGAAATCGTATTCGTATACGAAAGAAAGAGTAAACGAGTAAAGAATTGAAAAGAAGACTTGTTATTATTTTGAAATTAATTAATTGCTAAGGTTAGACTGGTTGGATGTTGTAAATGTGGGTCATTGTGGGAGGTGGAGGTGTGGTATTTGGGATTTGGGTATTTCACTCACTGTACTCGCACTGGGTTCACCGTTCACCACCCACCGGTGGGACTGGGATGGGAGATGGGACACAAGGGAGGGACTAGGGACTCACTCCAGATTTCCAACGTGAAGGCACGAAATAGTGAGCGCGTAACATGCAGACAAGGTCGTATGCGCGCGAAATACGTTGGCAGCTTTGGCTGTAAATCAGCTGGTCAGCTGTTGGTTGTACTGTTGTATCAAAAAAAGATTGGTTACTGGACTATGAAAATAATTTTAATCCGCTTAAAATGTACAGATATCGATTTTTAATTCATATTGTTTCGGTTTTCAATTCTGTATGTTTTATTTTCAATATTTTAATAAATTTATGTTCATAAGTTTAAATTTAAATAAATAAAGTGCGAATTAATGAGCTGATGTAACCTGTCTGCCATGTTATCTAAATTTGCGTTTACACCAGAGTTTGAAACACGAGTTGCAAACAGAAATTGCAAACATCTCTAAAAACTCTAAAAACGCCCATTTTCAGACGAAACTTTTCGCCGTTGCAAACAGTTTTTCAGTGTTTGTAACAGAAATTTTTGTTTCCACTTGAAGTCGATAAAGATCAAAGGGAGTTGCAAACTCTTTGTTTGCAACACTAGTTTCGGTCACTATGAGCCGAGAGCCATTGAAACACGAAACAGAAACATTTCTCCGCCATCCCCTTCGTGCGATCCCCTTCGCTACCACCTCCAGTCTCACTCACGTGATCACTCGCAACACCCTGTGTCTCGACTCAGTGAACCCTGTCTGGACTGCTACCTCGTGTTTGTTGTGACTTATCTCGTATCGTTCGTGCGTGTTGTGAGTGATGATCTACTGAGTGAGATGGAGTGAAGAGATGACAATATTATCAAAGTTAATTTTTTAGCTTTTACAGAGAAAATTAAGTGCTTTGGAATCAAACTATTTCTGACTATAAAAACAAAAGCAAGAAAAACTATGCATGGAATGACATGTCACGGGAAATTAACTTAAGCAGGGCAGAGGTCCAAAATAAGACGAGGAACCTCATAATTCAATTTAACAGAGAATCTAAAAAGTCAATAAGTCGATCTGGATCGGGGGTTGACGATGGGAAAACCAAGTGGAAGTTTTTTTTCAATCGATGATGTTTCAATCAAGGTTGAAATTATTTCAAACATTTTCATGAAACATGGAAACAAAAACCATGAAATAAAAATTGCAAACTTTTATTTGAAACTACTGTTTGCAACTGCTGTTTGCAAGTTTTTGTTTGAAACTCCGGTGTAAACGCGGCTTAAATGGGATGCCTCGATGCCTGTCACCCTGTCACTAAACAACACCACTTGCGACTTTGCCAGTTCTACCAGGCCGCGGCCTGTAGTTAGAGGCGGCCGTGGCTATAATCGATGTATATTTATTTATTGAACACCAACGGCAAACACCATTTTACATCAAATAAGCTACAGATAGGAAACAATTATGAAAATTTACTTACATGAAGAAACGTTGTTGAAATGAAAAGGAAACATTGGTTTATTATTGATCTAGTTTTATTTGTAAGGCTAGGATTATACTAGGACGCTAGCGTCCGAGAGGCTGGCGTCCGGGACGCTAGCGTCCCACTTCGAGCCGATAAATTACGTGATTTGTGTTGGGACGCTAGCCTCTCGGACTGTCATTTTATTTCCACGTTTTGTCGCTTTTTGTTTCTATATATTTAAATAACATTAGGTTTAACGAGTACCCAGGTTTGCTGCTTTAAGGAGGCTAATAAAGTGTGTTTTTAGTAGAATATTCATAGCTTAGTATAAAACAAATTGGCACAGTTTGATATTAATATATCCATACACAAGCAAACTCCAACAGTAACAATATTTTCTATAAAAATAACATGGGAATTTTTAATTTACACTTTTTTAATTTTCTCCGTAACTAATAAACGTACGAAAACACTCAAATATACTAAATTATTTGTTTTTAAGCTCATTAAAATTGTCTAGAGAGAAATTGGGAAATTTTGTGTCTTACGGGTCAAAAATGACAAAACCCCTTATTTACCCCATAAAACAAGGTCCGTTCATGCTGGTTCGCGAACAGTTTATCCCGCCCTTCACCTTTTTCATCGAAATCGGACAAAAATTACTCAAGTTATCACGTTTATGGACATATATATAATATTTTAATCTATATGTACCGATGGGGTTTTTGGCCTCTAGGGACATTCAAATCGAGCGTCCGGTGGCTTTTTTTAGCGTCCGACGCTGGCATCCCTAGTATAATCGCCCCCATTTGATTTAATGCCCCGCTAGCGTCCCGGACGCTGGCCTCCCGGACGCCAGCGTCCTAGTATAATCCTAGCCTAACAGTGAGTTGGCAGTTGGCACCAATGCTGTTGCCACAATAATAAATAATAGTAAGTAAGTACGTATGAAATGGAAATGAATATGGTGGATGCTATTCGACTGGAGGAGAAGGCTATTCTGTGATTGGGAAACACTGATCATCTAGGTAACGGTTTACTTTTAATACCCATTTATTTACAGCTGCAATTACTATAAATCTTATTTTATGCTCTAATTATATTCATACTTTCCACTTGTCTTGGTAACCTCAGTTTATGACCTCATAAATACGCCAGGAGAAACCTTTCTTTGTTATTGTAGTTGGTAGATTTCCATAGGACCCTGGGGCAAAAATTTTCTAGATAAACTTTTCACTTTTTTAATTGAATGGCGAAATATCATAGTATCCACGGCGTTCTTAGAATATAAACTTTATAATTAAAGTATATTGGCTACAACTCTTGTGCTTAAAAGTCCTTTTTCCATTTCCACATATGCCAACTTGGTCCAAAACAGAGGCCTAACTTAGACCTCTGTGCACTAATTTATGTAATTTAAATACATAGGCCTAGGCATACCTATAACTTAACTCAAGTGTTTCATAAAGTAAGTTCTAAATCTCAGTTAGCCTAGATTTATCAAATTTGTTAAGTTACATCAGTTTTTACCAAGGTTATTTGCCCTATTGGCCTACTTAGGCAAACCTCAAAACCACAATGGGCCTAATCTTAAAACCTAGGTCTAGCAAACTTAAACTAGGCCTAACTTATCTTAACTTTAAATTGATCGTCTCTAGCTTTTAAACTTATCTGAGAACTACTTAGCCTAAGTAAATCCTTAAGAATCCCTTTACATTTTTTAGGGCTAGAAGCATACAGTAGGCCTAACTTAAAATTTAATTTTTTTTACCCTTGTAAGGCCATCAACTTTTGTGGTGTACCTACACCGGTCACTAAGTTAAGGCCAGGGCCAGCCCTATTACCGTACTGAGTTATGCACCTAAAAGGCCAGGCTATTTTTGTTTTGCGTCACATAGTTTTGGTAAATATAAGCCATTTTTAACTAAGGGAGGCCTACCTAACTTGCCGTACCATATTATCAGAAACCCATAATTTTTTTATATTTTTTTTAGGTAGGCCTAGGCCTAGGCCCTAAGCTTAACAGGCTTTTAAAAACACTAACTTAATGGTGTTAGTAGGCCTAATTTTAACTTTAAAAAAGGTTTAAAAATGTAGGACCCAGACCCTAGCTTAAAAACACTTCCTGAAGTGTGAAATTGCGTAAAAAGTGTATAAAATGAAGTTTTCGAGGATAATTGATGGAAAAGCAATTCCAGTCCCAAATATTGACTGGAATTTGATAAAACCGACCCTAACTACTACAGTTCCTCCAAAACCTCAATAAGTTATACACCAATTTTAGACAATTCCACACACTTCAAGAATGTTGGATTCACTAAGTTACATCGATGTGAAAAATTCACAAGGCATATGCACTCGACATATAAGTTAATTTACAGTTGTCTCACTCAAAGATAACCAAAACCGGCATGCACGGAGAGCACTATGTCTTTGGTTTGCCGATAGCCAACCAGCAACTAGCCTACAACGAATATTAAAATCACTTCGCCCAACAAATACATATTGTCAGGTAGGCCTATCCACATAGGCTAACTTATTTCACCAGGAATCACCCCTTTCTTACATAATGTCCGAAAGCGATTTTCCGACACAATCAGAATGAAAATTAATTATAAATTAGAGCTACGTCCTCCTTTGTCACTACTTCACTTTGAACTAAACACATGGAGTCACGGAGACAGTTCTAAACATACAACTAACAAATAAACCACCAGCCAATCAGATTACTGCACGAAAGAAACCATCAGCCAATCAGAAATCTACACAAATAGGCCTACATCATCTGTTGATCTGTTTCACAACAAACCACAAACAATGCAGTTGCAGTGACAGGTCACTGTATCACAATTACCCCTAGAATTCCCTCGAAATTTAACTTTGAATTCCCTCTGTATTTCCCGTAAAATCCCGGTTTCAATTAGCAAAGTACTGCAGTTAAGATTTTAACAAATATATAGATCTCATGAACACTCACTTGTTCAGGAAAAAATAATTGATGATTATGAAATGAAACTGTTCTAAACTAACCGAACCAACCAAACTTGCTGTATGATTTCATGAGGAAAAAATTATTGTTGATTATGAAATGAATCTGTTCTAAACTAACCGAACCAACCAAACTCGCTGTAGGCCTATGATTTCACAAGGAAATAATAATTGTTCATTTTGAAATGAAACTGTTCTAAACTAACCAAACCAACCAAACTTGCTGTGTATGATTTCATGAGGAAAAAATAATTGTTCATTATGAAATGTATCTGTTCTAAACTAACCGAACCAACCAAACTCGCTGTAGGCCTATGATTTCAAAAGGAAATAATAATTGTTTATTTTGAAATGAAACTGTTCTAAACTAACCAAACCAACCAAACTTGCTGTATGATTTCATGAGGAAAAAATAATTGTTCATTATGAAATGAATCTGTTCTAAACCAACCTAACTTGCTGTTTGATTTCATAAATCGGTTTTATAAGAGAACTCGTTACCCAGATATACAACCAAACAGTAAAGTACAAACCATGAAACCAATAACCCTATAAATCAGATTTTGTAGACACCAGCGCACCCAGTGTCACTAACACGAACACGAACTACTGTAAACACTATATACGAGCAACAACTTGTGTTGTTTAGTTCCATAAGATATGTTTATTTATTTATTAATTCCATACTCCTTGAGGAGTTTGTTTTATCTATGTTAATTATTCGTAATTTATATTATGTCTGCAGAAATATCAAAATAGATTCGGTTCGATATATCGTTTCTAAAATATTTTTATTTTCAATTTAAACATACATGGAAATAGGTTATGATCTGTTTATAATTTATTGATGTTTTGAATGTAAAAATATAATCGAGTTAAGATCGGTGTACGTTTTTAATGAACTTGAATAAATAAAACTCATCAATATACAAACAAAAGAAGACTGAAAATCATTGACTATTAGGCCTAGTCAAAGCTGAAAACTTAACTTCACGTTTTTAGAGATACTGGTAAGGATAGGCTATACACAGGTGATAGATACACTTCACTTTTTATTGACCTATTTAAATATTTTCAAGCCATTTTTTTACTAAATATATATGATAAAATAAACAAACAACTTTATTTTTACTTTGATATTGTTTTTATTTATATCGTATGGTACAATACAATTCTGATGGTCTTCCTGTCTCTGCCGGCTCTGCTCAACCCGTCGTCGTTGGCGGCAAAGGAAAGTACCCATTGATACAGACTAATTTCCCATTCTTGCTGGGTAATTACCTATAAATTACCCTTTTACCCGTCGAATAACCGTTTTCTCCCCATGATTAACCACGTATAACTTAATCTCCCCCACCCAAAACCCCGAATTCCCACTGGCCCCCTAGTGAGTTGGGATTATTATTTATTTATTTAATTATAAATAAAAGGAGGCCTTGGCGCCAACAAATTCTTTGATAAAGTTGTAGTATTGATGTCCTAGAATAGTTTAAAAGTGATTTTAGAACGTTTAAGCTGGGGTCTGGGTCCTGAATAAGTAGGCCTACCCAAAAAAATTTACATATTCTTATATCTAAGTAAAATAGGTAGGCTATACGAAAACCTTTAATGATTTTTATTTTTGACAACAAATAAAAAATATAAAAGTTGGTTTTAAACCCAAAAGACACACATTTTCTTTTAGTAAATTGTGTAAGTTAGTTATAGCTAAAATGCTAATTTTCAAGTAAGTTAATTACCTTGGGTAATAAGTCCAGTTATAGTCTGAGGCTAAATTAGTACTATTTGAAAGTTCCAACTGCGTTTTTTTTTTCTAAAACTGAGAGAAGAGCAAGCCTATCTTTACTATCTTTGTAGAATCTTTACTATCTTGTTCTTTCACACACTTAACAGAATCCACAAAATACATGAGAAAATACATACACTAATGTTGTACGGTAAACACTTAAAATTATTTACAAAAGGCCTATGTTATTTTTTACATAAATTTGATACCGTAACACACGCCCTTGCGTAACGTGTAACGTACAAGATTTTACTTGACCCGACATTATACAGGGGGTTACGTACAATATTTTTCATTATCCATTTCACTCATCTTCTAACAGTAACGTTCTTTTACAAACAAAAGCTAGGTTAGGAAAATACTTTAAAGCATTTAACAATAAAATTCAAGCGCACAGCTGATTTCTAGCGTTGAACGTTGTTGGCTCCAGAGGTAGGCCTACATATTTTTTTTAAGTTGAGCACTCATGTTATTTTTGGGTTTCATTACTTCACCGAGTGAGTTTTAAAGAAGTTGTAGGCCTATACATCACGCTTGGGATAGGGAAGTTTAACACGGCAGGTTAGGTAAAATAGCCTTACCATTTTTTTGTGTGCACCAGGTTTGGTGTATTGCTGAACTTAACTTATGCACTTAAATTACATCAACTTCAAATGAAATTTATAGTTTAAATATGCCTATCTTCCATTTTGGTTTTAGATTGAAGGAAGGAGGTATATATGATCAAATCAAGATTGGCAAGAATCAGAAGATGAGTGATAGAAAAACGCTGCGTTCGAGAACAAGAGGTAAGTTGGATTTGTTTTCTAAGCGATAGATTATTTATTAAGGTACTTAATTGATCCTCTTTAGGTTTGTGTGTATCTATATTATTTATACGCTACATGAAACTTTGTGAACAATAGGCTAAGGCTTTTTTGTTTTAAGATTTAACCCCACATAATAGGAAATACCAAAAACGTTCGTCCAAGTGTGTAGATTTGCAAACTGACCTTACATTTTTGAAAAGTCCCTTGGGCTCTGCCCCAGTGGCTTTTAAAGTTCCCATGTTATCCTTATGAAGAACATATTTGTTTACATTACTGTATGATCAGCTGGATAATTGAATTGCTGTTAATATTTTACTTGCAATTTAAGGAAACTTATGTTGCAAAGAATATTTAACATATTTCTAGATTAAATAGTACCAAGATGTGTACATCTATGAAAATGGAACAGAAATTATTCTATAACCACTTTATTATTGTACATTGTACAATTTTACCCGGGAAAAGCCGGGTTTCGCTGCTAGTAAGTTTTATATTTTGTACTTCGAGAACCATTTGTTTAGGCTCAGGGGGACCCAAAACAGATATCCACTCAAAACTCAAATTTAAAAAAATGTTGACGAAAACAATACTTTCTCCATATACTATGTAATAGGGGGAGAAAGTAAGTGATGAAGCTCTGTAATTGCATTAAGATGTTTAAGAAATAATCAACTAAGTTATCAATCATGCAAATCAATTCTTGTTAACTTTCCAATCATGTATATTTGTTTGTTTAATTTAAATATTTTATCTACGGCCGTTTTTAAGTAGTTAGTAGCTGTTTCAGCTCAGTTCTTAGAATTGTAAAGTTTTACATAACAGCATGGTTTACTTTCATAACATCATAATTTTACTCATAACAACACAAGGTAACGGACCAATGAGGTTCAAGGATTGAGAGAGAAGAAGTTAAATTATAATGATTCGTTGTGTCACTGTCAGTGGCGATGAGAGGTTATAAACAAAAACATTTAACCTCTTTTAGAAGTTACGAGTATTGATTATTATTAGTAAATTAAAACTTTGTCATAGGTAAAGTAGTGTACGCAACTCGCGTAAATAATGTTAATGACACTCATAGAAGCTAGGAACTCAACAAGGCTCGTAGGTACCTAAAATTTATTACTTATGTCTTTAACACTATCTTAACACAATCATTTCATAACTACTATTTGTCAATAGATTAATGATTAATTATTAAATAATTGTACTCAATTTATAAAAGGTTGTGTATTTCTATTCAAACAAAAACTCGAATCAAGTTATAAAACAATAACAAAAAAACATATGTTGAACAATTAATTTAGGCCGAAACAAAAACAGTACAAATGGCTTTCGCAACCAAAAACAAGAACACACAGTCGTCCTCAAGTAGAATTAAAAGAAACAACGAAGCACCTAGGTGTTATGATTGATTCAAAACTAACTTGGAAACCACATGTAGATCAACTTAGCATGAAGCTTTCTTCAGGCATCTACGTGATTCGCAGAATGAAGCAGTAAGTGGCCTAGACGTGGCTAAAGTAGCTTACTTTGCCCTTTTTGAATCACACCTGAGGTATTCCATAACTACATGGGGAGGAACTGCCAACACAATCATAGAAAGGGTTCTCAAACAACAGAAAAGAGCGATCAGATGCCTGGCAGGCATACAATATCAGGAAAGCTGCCGAGAACACTTCAAACAGTTCAAAATCCTCACTGTAATATCACTCTACATACGTGAAACAATCCTGTACACAATAAGCTCACAACAAACAAGACACCAGGTCATACACCAATTCTAATTCAACACAAGGCATGCCTCAAACTTTGCCTTGCCACCACACCATCTCAGCCTATTTGAAAGGAAACCAGCGTACAAAGGAGCTTTGTATTACAATCATCTACCTGAGCAGCTCAAGACACTACCACTGCCACACTTCAAGAACAAATTGACATCATGGCTACAGGACAGACCATTTTACACAGAAGCCGAATTCCTGAAAAAAACAGCACCAGTGGATCTTCCCCCCCCCCCCCATCAACCCTACAATGTTGTAACTAGTTTTAAGTTAACCATCAAAAAATTGTTGTGATTTATTTTTTTCATTTATTGAATGTGCTCAATGTTGATAGGTCGTAGGCCTCCAGTATCTTACAGCTGTGAGGAGGATGAGACAGACACGAGCACGGCGTCGGACCAGAACACCGACCACTCGCCTACGGGCCGCCAGAGCAAGGTCAAGTGTAAGGGTGGTTATTGTAGCGACTCTGGGACCGCCTACAACCACCGGAGACAGAGACTGCCTCCCATCGGTGTGTTCTGGGACATAGAAAACTGTCAGGTACGAAAACTAACCTAACCTGTTGTAACCCAACCCAAATGTAGACTAACGTAGCCTAAACTAATCCAACCTAACTAGACCGAACATAGAACCTGTATTTTATCATGTGTTCTGGGACATAGAGAACTGTCAGGTACAAGTAAGCCAACCTAATATAACAAAACAAAAACAAAGATGTATGAAGTATATGTAAGAGATAGACCAGACTGACTGATGACATCACTGCATACTTGGCAGCGGTATGCTTACACAGGTTGATATGTGATTTGCTGTTATATAAAGATGCTGTTATATATACAAAGATGCTGTTAGAATACCATGTCTTCGTTTTGACCAGGTTAACTGTGTCAGTTTAAGAATTAAAATCAAATATAAAATCACTTTGATAAAATAGCCTCAAGTGTTCTTGTCATATTGCAAATAAAATAAAAAATATTTATAAAATAACTCACAGCTTGGCGGGTGGAGTGGAAGGAGAGTCAGTTACTTGCTAAATTATCCTCCAGGAACCTTTTGATGGAGAAATTGAAACTGATTAAGATGATTTTTCGTTGTTCTCTCAAATTTTCTGGTCTCGAGGCTTCTCAGGCTCTCAGTCAGCTCATTGAACAGCTACTCTGGGAAAACCCCCAGATCCCTAAGATTCAAGCTGTCTGCTCTATATTCCGTCGGACTAGCCGGACCAACTACTCACCTAGGCTGTACAGTTCCTGTTGCCTAGCTCATTTTCCAATTTGAATTTGTTATGATGGTTTTGGTTAACCCAGATTTTGGTTTCAACAAGGTTTGGTTACATGGTTTTACTGTAATTATTCCAACTGATTTAAAAAAAAAAAACAGAGTTTGTAGTCCCAGTAAGAGTTAATTACAGACTTTTAACTTCTCATCTTACCCTATCAGTCAGTTCTTTAAGATAGTGATTTTTTGGCATGTTTTTGAATTATTATTAAATTTCAAATTTCAAAAAGATATTCTTCATAGTGGTATTTTCATGTTGCAGGTACCTAGAAACAAGTCAGCTGCAGGGGTAGCTCAAGTTATCCGAGAAGAATTTTTCTCGGGTTACGAAGAGAGTGAGTTTGTGGTGGCTTGCGATGCAAACAGAGAGTCACAACAAGTGGTGAATGAGTTGAATGATGCACAGGTCAGTAGACACTGAATGTAAGTTTTTTTTTTATATTGGCCATTGACTTTGAATCATCAGATTGAAATAAACCCTTAATATGGTTTGTATTCTAATCTTATCTTAAACAATAATAATTTGAGGACAGAGGTTTTAAAGCATGAGGTTTAATGGTACATAAGTTAAATGATTAATATAGGGTTACAAAAAAATTGTTCAGGGGTGGGGATTCGTGCTGGCCGAATCAAAAGATTTCCAATTTAAATTTTCAATGAGTATGGTAAATTATAAATTTAATAATCTTTCAAAAACAATAAATTAAATAGGAAGGATTTTGATTTTAATTAATGGAGGTAAATAGGGTCCAAATGGATGCTTGAGGAGTCTATAAGTTAGTCTGAGTTAATAAATGGAAAGTTCTCACCAATCTTCTGTAATAATAATTTTCTGCTTAGTTTAAAGGCTTAAATTCTTCTTTCTTCGGTTAACTTAATTTGGATATTTTGCCAATACTTTACTTTATATTTTCATAATTTATTTCACAACTAATATAGTTTCTATGTGCTCTTCTTGAATAGCTAAACTGCACTCTCCTTTTCATTGTTGTAAATCATATCAAGTTATGGGGTTCACATAAATAAAAACATGGTTGTATTTTATTAATAATCTTGAACCCAGATGGATGGTGTTCTGATTGGAGGATTTGTTTTTGAATAATAATTTTGGATAAGCCAATGAATAAATTTTGATAGTAAATTATATATATGTTGAGACAATATGGTTTTAATAATATTAAAAATGGACATGGATAAATATTGAAAATATAACAAGATTGAGTTTGAAAATAAAATAAGGACTATAATTATAAACATTGAATTTTGAGTCATTACAATATCCCCTCAGAAAATATGTAATTAAATTTTTAATGACATATTTTCGCTAAATGACGAAAAATATATTTAACATTATACAGCAAATAACAAATATTGAGATGAAATTGAGTTGAAACAAAAATCTAACAAACTTAACATTAAGGTTTAACTAGAACAAATTTCAGTTGGAATGAACATAACAATAAAATAATTCTAAAATAGCAAAATGATTACTATCCCCTCCTATCTTCTACAAACATTAAAAAACATAACATTAATTTAAGTGGTTAAAACAATTTTTTTTTATTTTTTACATAATAAATGAATGGAGTGATGAACAAATGTTGAAATATGAAATGAACATGAGACATATAAGAGATGTATGATTCTTATAGGTACCATGGAGTACATTAAATGAATAGTTGTTTGTGATTGCTTGATGATAACCTCTTATAACTAAATACATTAAATTTGTGATTATGACTATAGTTTAACTATTGGGACAGAGGTAACTGGAGAAATTGGCTTGTTCACTCACTGCTTGTGTGGGTATGATTTAAAATTCTTCCCTTTTACAGCAATGTTTATAGGGTTAAGCACACATTACAGTTTATCTTCTATCTTCGGTTATAGTGTGTAGATTGGTTCAATGTATTTCTTCATGGAGGATATATATGATAGGGTCCATATAATTTTGTAGAGATCACTTATGTGGTATGTTGATGGTCCAAGTATTGGGGAAATCGGTTTGAAGGTCTTCATGTAATTGTGGGTCTGTGGTTCTTTCTTGGGTAAGTGATATTCTTTGTACATTGTAAAATAGTTTTCTTCATTGTTATAGTAGTTATCATATGGCCTTTGGCAATTGCCTATATCTATTTGACATACTTGTCCCATTTTAATACTCATATCACATTTTAGATTAATATCAGTATCATTAATTGTTAAGCTTAATTTATTTTCATTAGAATCTATCTTTAGTCGGAGTTCTGTTAATGTGTCCATACCAAATATCACAGGTTTAATTAAATTAGGTATGATAAGAAATTGAAGCCAGATGGTCTGATGTTCAATGGTTACAGGGGCATAAATGATTCTTGCAACACGTTTTGATTTTTCACCAGTAGCTGTAGTTATTGTTGTATTAGACAAAGGAAGTTCTTCAAATGGTTCAATTATTTTTTGATTCTCTTTGAAACATTGTTCGGAAATACATGTTATTGTAGAACCAGTATCGATTAATGCTTTTGTTGTGAGATTATTGATTCTAATATCTATTTCAGGGCATTTAACTGGTTTGGACACAGGAAATTTATTATTTTCAGTGGGTTCATTTAATAAAAAATCTTGATCACACATTATATTATTTATCAAAAAATTGTTAGGGTTATTTAAAGAATTATTTTCGAGGATATTTGCTGTTGATATCGCTGTAGTTGTTATGATGTTGGTAGTTGATGGTCCTCGGCTTACATCTACAGCGACGGGTCGTTTCCCTGGCTGGTGTATGAGGGGTTGAAATTTGTTGGAGATCTTTGTTGTGTTGCTGTGTCATGTGGACTGTCTTGACTTATCATGGCACATACTTGTTTTTGCTCATTTGTAGGATATGGTTTGCTGTTATTGTAATAGTATTGATTAGGCCTTTGGTGGTATCGGTTTTGATCAGTGAGCGTATTGGTATAAGGATGCTGTCTGTGGTTTTGATTGTAGTTTTTGCGAGGATCATGTCTGAAACGGTTGTATGGCTGATATTGGTGTTCTCTAGGTTCTTGATGTTCTTGGTGTGGTGTCCGTATAGCATAAGATGATGTTTTTGGTTGATAGGCTCGATGGTTAATATCAGAGCTATATGGTGGAGTCTTGTTACGATGTGTAGGACTATTTGGTCGGTGATCCATATTATGGTAGTTCGCAGGTTTGCTCCTTTTGGGTCCATCTCGGATATCTTCTTTTTGCAGAAGTCTTTCGAATGCTCGAATTGTTGTCACGTTCTGTACTTGGATGCTATCTTGGATGAGTTGATCAAATCGTTCGCTTAACAGGATCACTATTTCCTCTTCAGTCATTTGTGGTGTAATAGACTGTAGCAATAGGACTCTCTCAGTAAAATATTCAGTTCTGTTGAGCGTTCCATTAGGTTTGTAATGTTCGGCTTCAATCTTGCTACGTACTCCTCTTTGTACTTCACGGCTCCAGTATTTCATGGTGAATTCTTCGGAGAATCTTTCCCAACTGTTAATGTCTGCCTTAACCAGTTGAAGCCATCTGGACGCTGGTCCTTCAAAACTGATGTCGAGAAGATCTTTCAGGATTTCAACAGGGTCGTTATTAGGATTTCTTTCTATCCTTTTAGCGTAGAACCGTTTAAGTTTTTGTAGATATTCATTTGGATTTATAGTTCTTCCATTGAATTTAGGGATTTGTCTTTCCATTGGGTCAGATCCCGAACATATGATTTGAATAGGATTGTCGTTCCGGATTGGTGAATGATGTTTCAGTTTTAGTGACTGTACTTCACTTTCACATTTGTTTAGAGTTTCAGTAATAGTTTTAATTTCGTTTTGTTGTTCTTGGATAAGATTATTTTGTATGTGTAATTTAGGTACAATTTCATTGTGGATGGATTGTGCATAATATTTAGCAATATTTTCACTGTCGGTTTTTGTTTGTAGCACTAATGCTTTCATATTTTGTTCTAACTTTTGTTCTTGTTGTTCCAAGTTATTAGTTACAAATGTCTGGATATTTATTTTTGATTCGTCAATTTGATTTGTGATTTGAAATTGAAATTCTTTGTTTTCTTGATTTTGGGATTGTTGGTTAGCTTTTAGGACATTTAATTCCTGGCGAAATTCACTTTGTGTTGTTCTAATGTCATTTATTTGTTCTGTTAGAATTTTTTGACATGATTTTATCTCACGGTTTAGCTCTATTCGGGTCTGATCTAATTTTTGGTTTAGTTGTGTGTTGGTTTGATCAAGTTTAGTGTTAAATTGTTCTAGAAAATTAAATATTTTGTTCAAATCCGGTTGTTCAGTAGTTTGCGTAGCTTTAACTTCAGGTGGTTGAGAAGTTGCGTGTGTGAACGTTGGTATTACGTCATTGGGACGGTTTTCAATGGTCGGAGACTCGGTCTCTAACAGCTGGAAACTTGCTTCGGGCGTCTTCGTTAACCCTCGGATGATTCCGTGTGTCGATGTGGTTCTAATATCAGCTGACTGTGAATGTGTGCTTTGATTGGCTGCGGGTCTTTGGTGTACTTCAATAATCTCGGCCCGGTCCGTTGATTCTGATTGGTCGCTCTCGTTCCGGTTCAAATCTTCGACACTGGGTCCACTGGGATTGAAACGTTCCGAACCCGAACCGGTGTTAGATTCATCTTGGCCTTCTACATAGGTTAGGTTTTCCATTTCTTCTGTTGACAGATTTGACGATTCGTCTGATTCGTGTTGTTGAAATGATAATGCAGGATAACGTCTCGGTTGTCTCAAATTATAGTGATTATCGTTATCGTTGTTAGCCATTTTGTTTACGACGGTGTAAGGGAACAGGGATATTATAGGACAAGTTGGGTATCGTTATAACAATAATGAGCTAGGCCTACGCTTTACGACATGAAATAAATCTGTTTTACCTTATAGTAGCCTATTTATTTTTAGAATTACAAGTCGTTTAGTTAGTACCTAATATTGGTGGGACATAAGTTGTGGGAAATCGGGATTCTTAATCCTACCTAACTTCTTAAGAGTAGGCCTAACATACGTAAGTAGCCTATTAGCCTATTGGTATTTATTAGCCTATTTTAGATTGTCTCAACATACGATTATGAAATCTTTTGATTCAAGCCTATTACGTTGGGCGCCATTGAAATAAACCCTTAATATGGTTTGTATTCTAATCTTATCTTAAACAATAATAATTTGAGGACAGAGGTTTTAAAGCATGAGGTTTAATGGTACATAAGTTAAATGATTAATATAGGGTTACAAAAAAATTGTTCAGGGGTGGGGATTCGTGCTGGCCGAATCAAAAGATTTCCAATTTAAATTTTCAATGAGTATGGTAAATTATAAATTTAATAATCTTTCAAAAACAATAAATTAGGGATGGACGGGATTGAATTTTTAGTTCGGGACGGGACGGGACGGGATTTTTATTTCCTTCCCAATTTTCGGGACGGGACGGGACGGGATTTTTTTCTGTGCATAAAAAGAAAGTACTGTATTGCAGTTGCCAAAAAAGACATACAAAATCAATTTTTACCATTTGTGGCACTGATCTATAAAAACCAAAAAATGGGTAACAATTTACAGGTACCTATAGTAACTTGTGACTCGTGGGTCACGGGGTGATCGTCTGTATGACTCACGGTCACGGCGCGATCGTCGTCATGACTCGCGATCACGGCGCGATCGTCGGTATGACTCGCGGTCACGGCGCGATTGACTCCGTGGTCACGGGGTTATCGTCGGTATGACTCCGCGGTCACGGGATTATCGTCGGTATGACTCGCGGTCACGGCATGATCCTCGGTATGACTCGCGATCACGGCTCAATCGTCAGCACGACTCGCGGTCACGGCGCGATCGTCGTCATGACTCGCGGTCACGGCGCGATCGTCGGTAGGACTCCGCGGTCACGGCGCGATCGTCGGTATGACTCCGCGGTCACGGGGTTATCGTCGGTATGACTCGCGGTCACGGCATGATCGTCGGTATGACTCGCGATCACGGCTTGATCGTCAGCATGACTCCGCGGTCACGGCGCGATCGTCGTCATGACTCGCGGTCACGGCGCTATTGTCGGTATGACTCGCGGTCACGGCGCGATCGTCGGTAGGACTCCGCGGTCACGGCGCGATCGTCGGTATGACTCGCGGTCACGGCGTGATCGTCGGTATAACTTGTGGTCACGGCGCGATCGTCGGTAGGACTCCGCGGTCATGGCGCGATCGTCGGTATGACTTCGTCCCCTGCGTTCGCCGACCTATCGCTCGCAATAACGGCGTTATCGGCACTCGCGAAGCGGTAAAATCGCCGACGATCGGCCCAAATCCCGTCCCGAAAAATTCCCGAGTCTAATGTAATCCCGTCCCGATAATCGGGAATATTTTTTTCCCGAAAAATTCCCGAAATTTCGGGACCTGTCCATCCCTACAATAAATTAAATAGGAAGGATTTTGATTTTAATTAATGGAGGTAAATAGGGTCCAAATGGATGCTTGAGGAGTCTATAAGTTAGTCTGAGTTAATAAATGGAAAGTTCTCACCAATCTTCTGTAATAATAATTTTCTTCTTAGTTTAAAGGCTTAAATTCTTCTTTCTTCGGTTAACTTAATTTGGATATTTTGCCAATACTTTACTTTATATTTTCATAATTTATTTCACAACTAATATAGTTTCTATGTGCTCTTCTTGAATAGCTAAACTGCACTCTCCTTTTCATTGTTGTAAATCATATCAAGTTATGGGGTTCACATAAATAAAAACATGGTTGTATTTTATTAATAATCTTGAACCCAGATGGATGGTGTTCTGATTGGAGGATTTGTTTTTGAATAATAATTTTGGATAAGCCAATGAATAAATTTTGATAGTAAATTATATATATGTTGAGACAATATGGTTTTAATAATATTAAAAATGGACATGGATAAATATTGAAAATATAACAAGATTGAGTTTGAAAATAAAATAAGGACTATAATTATAAACATTGAATTTTGAGTCATTACAATAGACAATCTATCTTCAAAGGTTGTCCAAGTAAACAATCAAACTCTGGAAGATGGTTTTGTGAGTAAAAAAAGAGAAAATCAAATATGAAATTTTTTTCCAAAACGCTTTGTTTACCAGTTATCGGCTGTTTTGTATTTTTTAACACTAAAGTTTACTTCTTTGAACTTTTTCTACCAATCTTTATGAACATTGGCATTTATTTTGAAATCTTTAAAACCTATCTTAAAAAATTGAACTTTTTCATATTTAAAATTCCACTACCATTATTTATGTTTATTTACTGTCTAGTTAAAACAGTATAAGTGTCCTACAGTAGGCTAATTATATATAGCCTAAGCTATTATACATATTTTTTTTTACTTTCCATAAACATCCAAATTTCAATATGACCGCCTTTAAAGTTTTCAAAGTCAAATTCAATGAAAAGGAGGGTTTAAGTTTTTTTTACAGAGTGTGACACTTAAATCACTTGCTGACAATCCAATGGCATTTTGATTGTAAAAAATCGGTTGGCAAACATTTTTAAAATAATCTTTACATAAGTAATTTTAATTGTGCAATGAAAATGTGTCTTTTTATATTAAGCTCTATATCACTAAAATTACCAAGTTTATTTATTGATAGGTTGAATTTTTTACTACTCCTTTGGTGTTTTGTCACATAGTTTCACAAAGAAGATACTGATTTTCAGAATTTTTCAATCATGTTCAATTTATATTTGTAAAAAGAAAAAGAAAAAAAAATGTAAATTTTGTTTGTTACATTTTTGTGAATCAATTGGACCTCGCCGACAAGTTTTGCAAACTTGGCGAGGTCAGATTTTGTATTATCACAAATAAATAAATTTGAATTTGAATTTGAATTTTTTTGAATGTATATATCATCTAATAACAAACAATGTTCTGACTTGTATGTTTACAGGTGTGTGTGTTGCACGTTCCGTCCCAGAGTAAGAACGCGGCAGATGAGAAGTTGAGGCATGGGATGCGCAAGTTTGCTCATACGCACGGCTCGGGCTCGGCTGTAGTGCTCATATCGGGAGACGTCAACTTTGCACCCGACCTCTGTGATCTTAGACATAGGTAAGAGTTCTCCTTGTTAATGCTGTACTATTTGTGATTTAGGTCTTTCATAAGCCTTAGAAAATACTCATACTGTTGTCCTATAAAAAAAAATATTATTATTATTTTATGGCCAGCATTAGACCTCTTAAGTCAATATAATGGTTAGATTCTTTTTAATTTCTGTCTCTTCTTCTTGTCCGCCCAATACTTCTTCATTCTTTCCGACCGTTGTTTTCTTTCTTCTTCCAAAAAAAAAAAAAAAAAAAAAACACCTTTAGCGGTGTAAAAAAATCTATAATCAAGACATTGTTGCTAAATGTAGTAGATCCTTTCTTACTTATGGGTATGGGTTTACCACTGCTTAGGTAAACGCCTTTGCCCAGGTAAAAATTTAGAATCTCCAGAACGTATATTGTCTAGAGATTTCCTTTCTTTATTCAACATGGTGAGTGTGCAACAGGTATTTTCAAGTTAAAAATTTCAATTTTGTTAAAAACTTGTTATTTGCAAAAGTCATTTTGTTTAGCACATCTTTTCTTTATCCCATGTAGGAAGTAGGTCTAACTGACCCCTCAGGGTAATGTTTAGGGTTGTTTTGGCAAAGATTGATTTCTAGTTTTTTCCTCCTACAGATTCAACAATAATTTGAAGTTATTGTGGTAACATTTTGACTAATTTGTTCCAGGTATAAGATATATGTGATACTAGTCCATAATGATAGCTGTTCTGAGTCGCTTATCATGTGTGCCCATGAGACTTACCGCTTCAGTAATCTGGTAGCCAACCTGCCAATGAGAAGCAATGTCAGCGTACGTCTACTTATACCTGTTCTAGTACTATTACGTTTTTATTGTGTAGGTGTCCGTGGCTATCTCCTAAATTGGGACAGGACCAAAGTTGTTTAAATTTAATTATCAGATAAAAATTTTAGTCGAAAATGATTGACGAGCAATTTTGTCATTCGAGTAAGAGATGAAATAATTTCACTTTCTATCCTGTCCGATGAAATCACTGTTATGTAATCTTCAGTTATAGATAAAATATAGGTGTAACACAATATCTTTGCTTAAAAACATAGATTATATTGTCTTTATAAGACACAAATTGTTTGGTGAATGTTGATACTATGTTGAATGAAACAAATTCAATTGTAAAAAAATACTACTCGGAAAATTATCCAAGCAATTTTAGTCAGAAAGTAAAGTAGTAAATACTGTTTAAAAATTACTTGATTTTTTTTGGTATTTTGTCAATAATTCGATACTACTACTAAATAGTAACATTAACAATTTTGAAGTTTTTAAAGTAGCCTGTATGTTGATTCTAACTTAACCTAACCCAACCTAAAATAACCCAATCCTAAACAGGATTTTTAGACAAGATAACTTTTCAACCTGAAATAAACATAATGACAATAAACTAACAGAAAGGTCTGATTTGTAAAACTCTAATAATGAACCCAAAATAATTATTTGAATCATCAGTTACTTAAATAAGCGCAAAGACTAAAAATTACAAAGTTTACATTTTCTTGTGAATATTAAACAGACAAACCAGCCGTCGGAAGTGACGGTGAGTGGGCTGCCGTTGCATCATGACGCGGGGAAGGTGAGAGCTAGACTGAAGCGGTTGGCGGAGAACTGTGGAGGCAGGGTGGGGCTAGTGGTGGGGACACGGGCTACAGTGCAGTTCAGCTCCATGGAGTTTGGCATCAGGTTAGTGGAACGCCTGTTGAATTGTAAACCTTAGACTCTTAAAGCTAGGATAATCTAGGTTGTTAAATTGCCCTGAGAATGAAATTACTTATTTATTGCCAAATAAAGTGCCTAGGGACCTAAATTTGCCTCTTCTAGAAGATAATATAGGGTGCCCAGTTAAAGCAGGGATAATTACATTAATTTTTATGACTAGGGAAAAGTGCATGAATTAATTGTATGCTAATTTTGTATGCAACCAAAATTTTCTGAAAATCACAAATGGCCTATCCATTGAGATCGTTCTGTTGGTTCTTTAAGCTTTTTTTGTTGTTGCCGTGTGTAGTTAAATCCGAAATCTAAGAGACAATGAAAATTTTGCCATTTTGTATAGGGAGCCTGCTCCTCCAATCCCAAACAAAATTAATCTTAACTTAAATAATTTTTAGGGTTTTTGTGAGGATAGCAGGCTTATCTGAATGGGAAAGAGTTCAAACTATCACAAAAGACACACAACTTTACTCTATAAACAGGTCTCCTGAGTCTTCTGTCTTCTTCTTAAAACCTGAAGAAACTCTGTCTTCCTTAGTTGAAAATGCTGTCAGTGACAGTGTGAGATATGTTTTGTGTATATAATGTAAAGTTCCGTGGCTCTAAGTGTGTACCAGTTTGGACTCCTTTCCCATTCAGATAAGCCTGCTTTTCCCAAAAAAAGTTCTAAAAACCTAGGCCCTTTGTGCTCTTTGTTACATCCACAACTTAAGGGATGGGTCGGTACCACTTTTTCAATGTCGGTACCGGTACCGGTTCCTAACCAAAATCGATTCTCGGTTCCAATACTATCGGTACCTCATTTATTTTTTTATTTTTGAAACAAAATATCCCTTTTCCAATTTTTAATATTTATTATTTTTATTAGTGTAGGATGGTTATATTGAGGGAGAGAATAAAGCCAATTTGTACAAAAAAACATATTAACAACCAAACACATTAAAATCAAAACAAATACCGTACCAGAAGTGTTAAATATGGGCCTATTTGTTGAAATGATTCACTGCTAAACCAATAAATTTAACATAGGCTAACTAACCTTGGACAGAAAGGTAGCTCCGGAAACTTGTTATAATATCTTAACTGCCTGTTAAGTTCTAACTAAATATTTATAAGGAAGTAATTTTGAGTCATTTTGTACCTATAGCCTGTATTAAGTTAATTTTAGGCTACAGTATTAAGGAAAATTTAGAACAAAAGTATTTATGGAAAGGATGTTTTGAACAAATATTTCTAGAAAATAGGCCCACATTTTAATTTGAGGTTACAGTTTAAGGTGCAGGCTTTTTGAAAAATAAAGAAAGATTTAACAAAAGCTTTGTTTGGTCATTGTGATGGTTTTTTGTAGGCCTGGAGCCTGTACCAATATTAGGTATTTCATTAGACTAAAAGTGATTTTAGACCCCCCACCTCTAAAGATAACAATAAATACACAAATGCTAACATTTAATTGACATTGATAGGCCTATCACAGGCACGCGACTTGGACGGTCCCGGCGCAGGTAGTAGACTTGTGTAGTAGACATTGATAGGCCTATCAATGTCAATTAAATGTTCGTATTCCTGTATTTATTGTTTGCGTGAAACATTGATATCTTTGTTTTTTTAACCCTGACGATGCCGCATTTACGGCGAAACATGTAGGTTGTTAACATGTTAACCTCAATCAACATTTAGATTACTTGAAGAGGTAATTGTACCATAATATTATAGAACTGTATGAATTAAATAAAATAATCTTGTAACTTGTAACTATTATTAATGGTATTAATAATCAGATAAAGAAAAGATATGGTTGGTTTTAACTTGTACCTAATAATTTTGTTGAGTCCAAATAAATAATTTATTTTATCCAGTCTTTATAAGCTTGCATTATTCTATCTTCTGCAACAATTGCTGTCGATGTTTGCACCACACTACCAGCTGACGATAGAGAGGACAACTTTCTTAAACAATTAATTAACACTGAAATAATGATCCTATAGCCTGCTATTGATAATATTTCATGATAAATATGCCTTAAGTGAAAAATAGCCTTAAGTGAAAAATAATCATTGTGGTTGACAGTTTGAATTTTTTAAATGAGTAAATAAGAATATAACCAATTAATTTGGTAACAAATGTATCGGTTCTGACATTTCACCATCGATTCTCGGTCCCTGTACTTTTCTCAAGAACCGGTGGAACTGACATTTGACATTAAGTACTGACCCATCACTATCCATAACCTAAAGTGAATAATTGTTAGTATGGATTCTCATGGAATTTTTTCAGTGATAGGGGTTTTTGTACTCTTATATTTCTGCTCAGTTTATAAAATATATAAAAATCAAATTGCAATGCTCTTAATATACCTTGTCAATTCAGACTCCAAATGAAGAAATTTGTTTTTGCAGGGCTCAGAAGAGGATGGACGGAGAAGATGTTTTTGGTTCTCAGATTGCTGTGAGCCATCCGGTTATTGTCAACAATCCACAGCGCTCCAATGAGCAGTCTCCAATCAAATATTTTAGTAAGTGTTTACAGTATTCTGAAGTTTTCCCACATCGAAACTGAGATGCTAACCATTAAGCCTGGTTAAACGGGGTAAACTTAGTAGCCAACACCGATAATAATTTTCATTACATTCTCCCCTTTTCATCAAACGTAGGCTCTAACTGGGAACCGTTTTACACACTAAAGCTTGGCCTAGAGAGTCCATTGGCGTGAAATGAACCCAGGACCTTGGGGACCAAAGTCCTAATTTGTACGACTGGACCAGCTTACTCCCTTAACACACCCTAAATTAGATGAATTATTGATGTAGCCTTAGTCCATGAAAAATATAAATAGCTTATATGGGAAATTTGCTAATACCATAACTCTTATTTTATTAACTTTTTTCGCCACTTTACACCCCACCTTTTCTCTTTAGATCCCTTATTGGTCGTAAATATGAATATGAATTTTAATATTAATATTATTTTAAATAATATTATTTAAAATTATTAGGCTATTATTAAATAATATTATTATTTATTATTATTATTTTTTTTATATTTTAAATATGAATTTTTTAATAAGTGTGTGAATAATTCAAACTTAAAATTTACAATTATTGTCTTCGTTCATCTGAGTGAGTCATAAAATGCAATGAAACCTACTGCATTGTTTTTTTTGGATAAGATGTTCACAAAGTTGAGAGACATATTAAGTAAACAAAGAATTCCATACTTTTTTGCCAGTCTTGTATTTTGGTTTGTGGTTATTATTTTCTCACAAAAAAGTTTACATTTAGAATTAACAGTTGTTTTACTTTTGCAGAAAAACCTGTACTCAACGGATTCAAGTATGAAGACAAAAGAGTTCCTCACGTTGAAGACCAGAGGAGTTTTCACAAGCCTATTCCTCCATTCAACAACAGTACAAATCAGTGAGTGTTTTTTTAGTCCTTTAATGGTTTTGTACGTCACGGTATTTCTTGATGCATGGCCTATTGGTGCAACCAGATAACCGTTTCAACAAACTTCTCTTTCTTCAACAAAAGTCTTTGTACAATTCCTTGAAGGAAACAAATGTAATCAATAAAACTATGCAAGTTAGCTGAGTGTTTGTTGTGCTCGCCAACAAATCTGAAGCTTGCTTGTTGAATCCGGAGCAGAATTGATTGTAGTCCGAGGGGTTATCTGGGTTCTAAACTAATGATGATTTAACAAATAAGTAATATAAAAAAAAGGATTTACATTTTTTGAATAAAATTATATAACAAACAAATACATCAAAAATATTATCAATGAATAAGTAGATAAATGATTGTAATCATCGCTAGGCCTACTCTCGTCATTTTTCACTTCATATTATGAATATTTGTATTCTAACTAGTTTTTCATTTTAATTGTTTATAAAACAAAACTAATTGCTCAGTGTGGTAATTTTTATTATTATCTCGTCAAATTTAATCAAGTATTTTCTATTGGTACTCTACTGGTAACTGGGATACCTGATGTCAGTAGATAAAGATTACCACATAATGTTATGACATATTTTCAGATACTATATGCAATGCAAAATGCAATATTTGAAAAAGTTGATCAAATTCCCAAAAAATATGTATCTAGAAAGAAGACAAGAAACTTGTTTACATCATTACACCATTGGCCAATAATTGCAATACTTAACCTTGATTCATACAGTTTCACAAGATGTTTTATTTTCCAGTCAGAGCAACGGAGTGTTTAAAAAACCATTCCCTGTCAGGAATTTATTCAATCAAGAAAACGTTCCAGTGAATTCTAAATTCAACCAACCAACATGGGAACGAACACAATCACAACAGGTTTGTATATTTGCTGATTTTATTTCACGTTAGCTTGAAAAAACAATAAACAACAGGAATCTTTAAATTAGGATAGGACATGTTTACGTAATTTCCTACCTAATTCCGGGACAAAGATGGAGGCCCGGAATTCCCGTTAATCAAAGGGACAATTTAATATCCTCCTTCTCTTCAGGCAGACTGGCAGTTGCTTGAGCAGTAACCAGATGTTTCGCGGTACCAAGGCGCCACTTTCCTGCTCTCTCCATGGCTGCGCTCTCTCCCGCACTCCCCCCTCACTCCGCACCTACTCCTCTTCAGCACCACCCCCTCTCCCGCGCACCCCGACCTCTCCTATGCTCCCTCCTCGACGTTTCACGCTCAACACTACGTTGTCTTTATTTATTGTTTATATATTGTTCTTTATTTATTACCTAACGTTGTCATGGTCATATTTTCAAAGACGGTTGGCGGATATATCCGCTGCTTTTTTACTCATCCCCGGATGGGTAGCGGATATATCTGCATAGTGAAAAACGAGTAAAAATTATTTTGACAGTATGAAGTGTTCCATTGTGTTTATTTTATGTATACTTGTATAATAATACACAAATAAGGAAAATTAATTTTTATTTTTTCCTATAATTTTTTCCCGTTTAATGACACGATTTCGCCCGTCCGGGAAGGGTTAAATTAAGTAGACCTATTAATAAAAAAGTTAGTAAAAGTTTTGCTTTTAGGAATCGATATGCAGGATTTGATTTTTCAAAATATGGTTTTTGTTCTGAAATGCTAATTTCTGGGTTTGGCCATCACCAACTATAGTCTTTTCACAAAATTTAGGAGGTATGAGAAGTTCCCCCACTACCTTTTTTGCTTAAAATATATTTAGCTGCTGATAGATGTTTTGGTAAACATCAGCTGTTGACCTATTGTTTTAAAGGTAGGATCAAGTGAGGGGATGGATTTTGTACCCTAAAACCGCCTAAATTTTATGAACGGAGGTTAGTTGGTAGCTCTCCTACTGACCAAGATCATCACTTGCAATCATATGAAAATAAATTACAAACAAAACTCGTTACACTGATCATCATTGACGTCTCTATAATGTTAACAGAGTTTTCCAGGATTTTAAAACGGTAAATTCCACATAGTAGTTTTAATTTAATTTTTTTTTAGAATGGACTTCCAGTTGCTTCATCGTACCCAGGCAAACAGAACAGTGGAAGTAATTTTCCTGCTTATGAGCCTAGGACAAATGAAGGTAAATATTCTGTTTTTAAAAGGTTGAATATTTTCATCGCAGTTTTTTACTTAAATTTCACTTCTGAATAAACAACATTACATATGGAATAAAAGGTGTGAAAATTAAAGATGGTAAAATATAGTCTTTTAATATAATTCTCCTTCTCAAGCTCGAATTGAGTTACATCCTACCATAAAATGACTTAATGGTGAAATTTTCTTAAAGTGCATTGGTCTCAAACCACGGTTTTTACATGAAGTCTAGTTTAAAATAGTTACTTTCTCATTGAGAAAATTTCTATTACGTTGAGTGATAAGTCAGCTTTTTATCTAGGGGTGTGCAATGCATTAATCATTAATAATTGTAATGTAAGACAACACATATTAAAAACTTTTCTAATATAAGAATGTTTTATACAGGATACTCTAATGGAAGGCATTCGCTAGATTCCATGCTAGATTTTGATCCTGACCGAGAAGAGAGAGAAAAAGAGTCAAACGCAACTTTTGAAAACTGGCTTAGAAACAGCACCAGCAATTTGGTAAGTGTTCAAAATTGTGTTTTTTTGTGTATGCTAATCCTACCTTATGTTTTTTGTCTTGCATTGGTTTTGGTTGAAAACCAAATTTATGTATATAAGCTTGGTTATTATGTTAGTTTTCTAATTTGTTGTTTTCATTTTACTAAAAATAGGTTTTACCTTTGTCTACCTTTTTAGCGTGCTCATAAAATGAAATGTTTTAGTAATCTCAAACACATTATATTAGAAAATAATTTAATAATGTTTCCCAGTGGTTAACGTACTGTTATTTGAATATTGTATTTTCCCCCTTAATTTGGGTTCTTAAGGAGTAGTAAATAATGTCTATGTGTTCTATAATAGCTAAACAAGCACACAAAGCATCACACACCACTAGGCTATACTTATCCGTCATTCATATTTGGTCAAATTAATTTAGGCTGCACTCCAATCTTAATTGGTAATTTGTAAACTATTCATTCTATTGGTAAGAATATAAGCAATTCAGACTTTTTAGTGTGAGTACTATGTCATTGCCATTGTCTTAATTATCTTCCTCTGGTAGGACAAGAAGGTTGTTCCCGTGGTGAAGGTGAACACTACCATCCCACCTCCGCCCATTGTCAACCTCCCAAGGAGAAATGACAAGTATTTCTTCCACCCTATTGACACCATGACTAACGGACACCCAGTAAGCTCTCCATCTCCTGCATCTTCCTCTGTGAGTAGACTTGGCGAGGCTGATATTTCCTAGCAAAATAAGTTTGAGACCGGAATCTTGTATTATTTAGGGGTCTTCAGTCACAACATTTTTGCTTTGGCTAGGGTAAACAATGTTGACCTTTAGGTCTCGGGTTCAAAATCAGGCCAGGCTAAAATTTGGTTGTTTAAACTGCTATTCTACAATTGCCTTTTAAAAATATTGTACATATTCTCTTGTGATAAATCTAAAAATTTGAACGTTTCTGCAAGAATGGCAAAGTTGTAAATTTTCTATCGCACAATTGTTTCTGGGATTAAAAACGGTGCCGCTCACACAACTCTAATATACATTGTCTTACCCAAAGCCATTCTCTACCCGAGATTTGGTACCTCCAAATCCTCCAGGTACCTCGAGCCTGGAAATACCTGGAGGTACCTCGAGGTACCTGCAGGTATTCAAGGTAATTCCAGCCTGAACTGATCTCTGGTAAACATATGGTCTTGTCCAACTCAAAGATTTCGGGGACTTGCGTCCTGCAGCTCCCTAATAATTAATATTATGAAGATTGCAAAGGAACAGGGTTCCCACGGACCTGGAAAGTCAGGGAAACAGGTATAGGGTCAGGGAAGGTCAGGGAAAGTAAAAAAAAAAAAATGCCGCAAGTAAGGGGAAATTTATGAAAATAACGTAATACCAGGGAAATTTACCAAAATCTTATTAGATCGCATTAATTTTTTGCTTGATTAGCTATGTTGAAATGAATTAGATGCTTCCGGTAGAGATTACTAAAATACTGAAAAACGTGCGGTTAATTTAATTTTTGTTTTGTTTAGAACTGTAAGTATTTAGAATTTATTTTCTTATTTGGTATTGTATTAATAAAAAGAAGGCGTAAGTGTGGCTATAGGGGTAGTAGAGCTTGCATTCAATTAATAATTGTTTTTTTTTACTCATGATAATATAAGCAAACTTGCAGTACCTACCTAAAATATGCCGTGGACAGGGAAATTAACAGAAAACAGTCAGGGAAGGTGAGAGAAAGTCAGGGAATTCACTAAAGATTGCAACTTTGGAGTACTCTTAGTCACGATAAGATGATCATCATTTAAATGAACGCTATACAGATTCCAGAACGCGTTTTGATACAAAATCCTGAAACATTGAAAATTAACCATTCCTCAATACCAAATTCATCATAGGTTTCGAGGGATCGCTACATTGCTAAACTTCCAATAATGAGTTTTGTTTTATTCTGGGCATGAAACTAAGCTGTACCTCTTTGCCTATGTACAGGATGCGTCAGAACCAGCCAGATGCTGGATACACAGTGGTGTACAGAGTAAAGACTGCTCATTGGCCAGTGTCACTGTCCGTCTAAGTGATTTCTCCACCAGAATCATGGCGTTGGTTACGTCTCACAATAACAGAATACCCCTCTCCAGGTAGGTTAATTTATTATTTAACACCACTGGGATTTTTTTTGTAGGGGAACGGAACCTCGTTTAAAGTTCTGGTTGTGCTGTACCTATTAGTATCTTTTGTCATAGCATCACTAATTGAAATGACAAATGGTATGTTTTCAAAATCAGTGCTGTTGCTAGGAGCTTGTCAAGGAGGGGACCTTTGGGGAGGTATCCACATACTTAAAAAAAAGATGGGGGGTCCAGGTGTCACAAAATTTGGATTTTAAAGCCATTTTAAAACTAGAACTGGATCAAAAACCTTTGTTATGTGACGTTTTTAGGACGAAATGTATGTTGACATTTATTTTTCAGGGTCTAATCAATGAGGGGGGGGGGGTTTAGTCCCTATATCTCCCCCCTGGAACCGCCTCTGATCTAGGGTAAGGAATAGTTTTACTAATTGTAAGCCGAAGTAGCCAACAGAAAGTTTCTCCACTAAAAGTTCTCCCTGTGTTGCAGTCTACGGGATTGTTATGAGGCACAGTTTGAGATGATGGCATCAGACTCCAGGAGTGTAACCTTAGAACACTTGGTGACCTGTGTGTGTAGCGTGGAGGTGGTTAAGTCCTCCAGTGGCAAATATCTCCGGCTGGCGACCAACGTGTCCCCTACCTTCTCGGGTGAGTAACTGACAGACTGCTTTTCAAACTTTTACCACAGATACCCACAAAACATAATCTTGACATTTTTTCTTATGTAGAAAATTATGTAGGTAGATTGAAAAAAACAAAAAAAAAACTTCATGTCAAGTTTAAACCTAGAGTAATCTTTAGTTTTGCCGGATGTAGCCACAATTTTGACAAGAGCTAGACCCTGATATATTAAACAATGTGCAAACTCAAAACGGAGGATATTTATTTAATGTATTCAAACCAACACATTTAAACAACATGTTATTAAATCTAGCGGAGACGGATGTTTGGTGTTATCTTACTATAGAGGTCAGGAGGATTTCTGGAGTCAGTAGTGTACTAGGCTATTTCCCACGTACTCAGTAGTTAATTCTTAAATTAGTCTCTAATCTGTGAAAAAATGTGTATGGAAATCATGTGCTCAAGAAATTTTATATTGTTCTAAGTATAAACTAAATTGTACTTAAGAAACAAGAATTTATTCGGTTCCAACTTAATTCAATATAATGAATGTTATAGTCCGGCAGTAAATAGGGTTACTAATATACAGTGTGAGGCAGTAAAACGTTTTATGGCACGATTTTTGAAAAATCACAAATAATTCTCTTAGAAAAAAAGATATTTTTTTACATAAATCTTAAGTATATGAGTGGAAATGAATCTTTTACCCTAAAAACTAAATTTAAAAAATCTCAATAAAAATGGGTTCAAGATAAACCCAATGGGCTCAAGATAAACCCACCCTTGACGTCTTGTAGCATCTGCAAAACGTCTGAAATAGTTTTGTAGGGCTTTGTGGTGCTAGCAGTGGCTTCAAAGTTATTTACCCAAAGGAGGATGTCTTTCAGCCCGTGGGGGTAGACTGAACTCTCAACGGAAAGGGCGTTGAGCACTTCTAAACCACACTATCTGCATTTTTGTAATATGCCTTTACAGCAAACACATTTTGTGCACTTGTCCATTGCTCCATGGCTACTAAAATTTCCACTTGTCTAGAAGCTTAAGGTAGTTTCCCCTGTATTCTTATAACCCTTCGTCATCTGAACCCGAAATTGTGCCGTTTCAATGCCTCATCCTGTATTATGTAATATACCAATCTCCCATTGTGATGATTATAGTCAACCTTACTACCGTATTATTTATAATTTTTTAATGAGCTAACAATCTGAGAACTTTTCAGATCCACCGGTGATGGAAGAGCCTTTGCTCCAGTTGTCCAAAGATCTTCAAAACCTGTTGAAGAATCAGCCAAGGTGCCAGATTGCGTTTGACAATGTGATTGCTGTATACCACAAAGCCTATGGGAAGCCATGCAAACTTTCTGACTACGGATGTACCAAATTGGTACAGCTGGTTGACAAACTTTCTCACACAATTCAGGTTGGTTTTTGTGTAACTTTGTGACAGAGACTTATTATTGTTTCCTCCTTAAATATTGGAAAGTTTGAATGATGAATGATTGAACAAATATTTAATTAGCCTATACGAGTCTGGTTTAATATTAATCAATATATTTTAATTGAAGTCATTGAACCTAGAAATAGCCCTTTCAAAGACAAATAAATTATTTGTGCTTTATTTCATCCTTGAACCTAACTTCGTGATTGGCATTTCAATCATTTCAAGTATGATTTAAGAATATGACAATCTAAACTCAACACATTATTGTTTTTATAAAGATAAAATAAATAACACAAGTTGATACAGAGAATACCTGTTCATCAAGTTGAATAAATGTTAATGTTCCAAGCCAGTGACCCCAAAGCAGAATGGTTCCTACGTGTCTGCAACGGCCTGTGAAAACCTCAAAATGTGTCCGCAAGCGCTAAAACTAAAAAGCTAAATAATGACTTATATACCGGTATATAATATATATATATATTCAATCTTTAGGGCTACTAGTAATATAGTTAAAAAAAATAAGTAAATTTCAATAACTTGTATAGCCTACTTTTAAAACAAAAAACTAAAAAACTATTAAGGGGTAGGAATAATCAGGTTATTTAAATTTACTTTTTTTTAAATACGTATATATATACACATACCTTAACAAGTGTTAACAAGGTCTTCAGAAGTAAAACTTTAAATGTACTATAGTTTCTTTATATAAACACACTAGGGATGGACGGGATTGAAATTTTAGTTCGGGACGGGACGGGATTTTTATTTCATTCCCGATATTCGGGACGGGATGGGACAGGATTTTTTTCTGTGCATAAAAAAAGTACTGTATTGCAGTTACCAAAAAAGACATACGAAATCAATTTTTACCATTTGTGGCACTGATCTATACAAACCAAAAAATGGGTAACAATTTACAGGTACCTATAGAAACTTGTGACTCGCGGGTCACGGGCTGATCGTCTGTAGAACTCACGGTCACGGCGCGATCGTCGTCATGACTCGCGGTCACGGCGCGATCGTCGGTATGACTCCGCGGTCACGGGGTTATCGTCGGTATGACTCCACGGTCACGGTGCGATCGTCGTCATGACTCGCGGTCACGGCGCGATCGTCGGTATGACTCCGCGGTCACGGGGTTATCGTCGGTATGACTCCACGGTCACGGTGCGATCGTCGTCATGACTCGCGGTCACGGCGCGATCGTCGGTATGACTCGCGGTCACGGCTCGATCGTCAGCATGACTCCGCCATCACGGCATGATCGTCAGTATGACTCCGCGGTCACGGCGCGATCGTCGGTAGGATTCTGCGGTCACGGCGCGATCGTCGGTAGGACTCCGCGGTCACGGCGCGATCGTCGGTATGACTCGCGGTCACGGCGCGATCGTCGGTAGGATTCTGCGGTCACGGCGCGATCGTCGGTAGGACTCCGCGGTCACGGCGCGATCGTCGGTAGGACTCCGCGGACACGTCGTTATGACTCCGCGGTCACGGCGTGACTGTCGGTATGACTCCGCGGTCACAGCCCGATCGTCGTTATGACTCGCGGTCACGGTGCGATCGTCGGTCCAATAATCGCGGCCACGGCGCGATCGTCGTTATGACTCCGTAAATGTGTCCGCAGGCCCGCGTTTCTCGGCGTTTCGTGTCCGCGACAATGTCGCAGCGTCGCTCGTTGTTCTGCTTTGGGGGCCAGTGATAAAAAAATTGTGAATGTGATAATAATGTAGCCTAAATTCACTCTAGAATACAATATTATACTCTAGAATACTTTCTTTGTATTTCTTTAAATAAAAATATATATAAAGTATTTGATCCTAACCCACTTGATTATTACTGTTGATACACCTATAATCATGAGTCTATATTTTAACATTAATAAAAGACTATGGAAAATGTTTTGACACCACATAATGTATGTTTTTATATTCCTAAAAAAACTAGCGGATTCCTTAAATTGTTTTTACTTAGTCATGTTCTGTGTACAGGTGTTGGGAGAAAAGACAGACAGAGTGTTGACGCTGACTCACCGCGCTCAAGTGCAGCGCTTCACCTCTGACTTGTCTCAAGTGCTGTTGTCTACACCAAGTGGACAAATAACTGTCCGTGAACTGCCTCAGATGTGGTTCACAACTTTAGGTATAGTACATCTCCTCTATACGCTCAAGTATATGGTTAAATGGCATAAGATACAAATCTAAATCTGTATTTACAAATTTTTAGTGAAGAGTAAAGTGTGTGGTCTTTTTCTACAATTAACTTTATCTTTTTTTACATAGTGTATCTTCAGCTCTTTCGGATATCAACGATCTTTTGGGTAAATGTCAAATTGCCATTTGAGTTGGGTACTGCATATAATCGAATATCCACCCCATTTTATAATGTATCTTGGGTTTTCATAATTTATCGTAAATTTTTAATTTTAATTTGAATATCTACCTATGTATTTTTTTCCCTTTAGACAGAGCTTGATAAGTTAGGTTAGAGGTAACTGGATGTTGTGCTCTTAACCAATTTAATGTAATTGAGAACTGTTCTGTCAACTAATAACAGTGTGTCTAGTAGTTTGTGTGAATACATGAGGACTCCAATTATCCAAATCACTTGCAGAAAGAAAAATATGAAAAACTTTAAACACAGTAAACACAGCAATAAGTCATTATTAAAGAAGGGAAATGCTGTGATAGCAGCAAAATCCAAAACCTCTGTGTAGCCATCATCATCGTCTCCCACATTGACAGAAACGTCTTCATTGTTTTTTGCAATTGCAGCAAAATCCTGCTTATCTTCCGCTTTTTTGTTGATATCATTATCGTTTTCAGCAGTCATGTAAACACCATTATCTCGTCTTCTGCTGTCAAATATAACACACGGTCGTGTAGACATCATTGTCTCGCTCGGTCATGGAAACTCGACATATTTCCTGCAATCGCAACAAAATCTTAAACATCTTCCGTGGTCTTGTTTAGACTTAATTATCATCTTCCGCAATCATGGCAAAATCTTAAATGTGTGCCTCAGTCTTGTAGACCTGACACCATCATTTTCTCCCGTGGTCATAACCACCACAATCACGGTGTAATCTTTGCTAAATATGATCACAAAATTGTCGCAATAGTAAACAATTGGCTTGACTCGACCTATTTTATGTAAAATACCCTGAATAATGATAACAATCGGATTATCTCAATGTAGTACAGGCCTAATTGATTGGGATGATTGGAGGTATACTGTACTTCATTATATTTTATTGTAACATTGTTAAATATCACCAAACTTGCTGTAACAACAATTTTGCATAGTTAACTTAAATATTAATTAGGGCCTATAAACTTTGTTTCTTAAAATTGGTTCTAAAAAGAGAAAATTCCCGTTGTATGGGAGCTCTGAGCCTTGTTACTGTTGAGCTCTATCCGTGAGGTTTTGCTACAAATCTTTACAAATGTCCACAGGACGTACAGTGGAGCCCAAAGATTACGGTTTATGCTACCTGGAGGATCTGCTGGGCTTTGTACCTGCCAACATTGCAGTAGTGACAGGAGAATCAATATCACTGCCTTCTACATCACAGCGTACTGGGGAGCAGTCCAGGCGACTGGAGCTGTTGGTTACACAGGTAACTTAAATCTGGTGTGACAATACATGTAAATGTTGATGAATTTCATATTTTAGCGAATTTTCCGTAGGGAAATTACTTTTGTTTTGAGGTCCCCTGAGGCGAAAACACCACCCGTTCAAATTTGGGGTCGTCTGAAAATCTGAACCAAAATTTGGTCGGTACAAAAATCAGTACGGTACGCAGCTACCAGTAATTTTGCGGGTTTTTTCTCAGAATTGTATTGAAACCATTATTTTAAATTTTAATACATTGACGGGATATTATGAAAACGCATAGTATCTTATATTCGTGGATTTCTAACCACAGTTGCTATGCCACACATTATTAAAACCTTTTACTCCTAAGAGGATTGTGTAAATCAAATTTCAACACGGTTAAAATAATAGGTTTTACGTATTTTACTCTGAGATACTCTGAATAGCCATGATAAAGTGGTTTTAAAATTAGTTTAAGAGTTTTCAGGAATAAATGTGTTGGAAGCAACAATTTTACCAGACATTTTTCACAACTGGTAAATTATTTCCAACACAATCCTTTAAAAACATATCAATGCATTCAGTACGAATCCAGTGTAGTTTCCAGCTGTTCACATTCAACAGACGACAATGAAAAACCGGAGGTTATGATGGAAAAATGGCAAAGAGCATCTGTTTTATCAGCTTCAAAACTAAATATAAGACAGATACAACTCTTGCCAAGCTTTTCTGAAACTAAAAATTGGATTAGCACAGAGTAAGATTATTGTATTTTCATTTGCAAAGTTTACATCGACCCATATCAATCATTAGTTTATCTCAGATGCAGACCCCTAGTTCAAATTCAAATATATGTGTCCAAGATAATTTGAGTACTATCAAATTTTGTTCAATTCGAATTAGCTTGACCAGACTACAACGATGGGGTTTTATAGGGAGTTTCATTAATAAAAGAATGGATTTCAAATTTTTAACAAACCCAGTTTTATGTTTTGGTCTGTTAAAAATGAAAAATCAAATTTTTAAATTATGAAACCAACTATAAAATTCTATTCCCATAGTCCAATCATACTGGTCTGCAAACTTATTCTAATAAACGTAGGTTTACAAGTTTATACCAAATTTAATCAATATAAGATCAACCAACTAGTAACTGTTAAAAAAGTACATGACTGGTTTTTTTACTGTATTTTTTTTCTGTTCAGATTATAGAACTGCTGAGCAAGGAAGCCAACTTCAAGATGGACTTTGCAAAGTTCTGTCCGGCTTACCATAAACATTTCGGAACTCAGTGCAAACTCTCAGATTACGGATTCTCCAAGTTGGCAGAACTTTTTGAAGCCATTCCAAAAACTGTAACAGTAAGTTTTCTTGCTGTGTTGTAAAAATTGTCACTAGAAATTGAGAAATGACCGGTTTAATTAACCAAAAGAACATTATGTAAAATCTACAGAAGTAATACTTTGGAAATTAGAAGAAGTAGACGTCCATTTGACAAGTAGATATAAGAATAAATTTCATCTGCAAAACCATTAATTTAATAAGGACAACAATCTTTTCCAAGATTTTCAACTAGAATATGTGTGTACCAAACCAAATATTGGATAATTGCTTGCAATATTGTGAATTCTATATTTGTAAAATCTTTCTGTTTGTTTGGTACTAAATTTAACATAAATCAGCCACTTCTATATATTTTTATCCACAGTAAATTAGGGAGTAAAATAATATGTAAATGTTAACCAATCTATATAAAATTTGTTTTCAAAACAGCCATAAGTTTTAGGGAAACCACAATATTGCTTTGTTTTATTTTTATTTGTAATACTAGACAAGTTGCTATTGGGCCTTAAATTAAAGTTGAGTCGAGCCGGGAGTATTAAGGGATCAGCACCCGAATCTGTGGACAATAGCCGATTCGAGGCCCCTATGTGTATAAGCTTGTTCACAACTATAATTGTTCTCTGAACTCTTAGTGTTTAATCAACTGCCCGGAACTACTTTCTCTTGTGAGGTATTATCTTGCCTTCATTCTTAATATACAACTGAACATTTTGAATTTGCAGATTGAGGAAGATAAAGAGACGGGTCGCCAGGTGTCTCTGACTCACCCAGAGAGATTGCGGGTGTTGTCTGGTCGGGTCAAGTCTCTTGTGGTGGCCAAACACCCGCCGGGTCTGTATGTCGATGGGTTGGCGTGTGAGTACCTGTTCAAATACGGCCACGCCCTGCGACCTCACAACTACAACTGTTCTTCAGTACTTGAGCTCGTCAAGAAACTGGATACAGTCAAGGTGATTTGTGAATTAAATCTTTGACTATGGAATGAAGTACTGGTAGACATCATCCCATCGAAGACAAATCACAAGAGTATCTCACTGGATTTCTCGGTGAAATAGTGGAACTGCTAACCCACAAGAGCTAGTGTCGTGTGCTTATACTGGCAATCGAGCCGTTCCGCTGACAGTGGCATGGTAGCTCAGTTGGCTATGGTGTTGCACTGGAGTGTAGCGTTGAGATCTTTCTATTGCGGGATGAGTTCCATGCACGTGCAATCCAGATTTAGCTTGTTAATGGGTGTCTTATCTGGTAGGAGGGCCCATCTTAGAAAACAGTGTCCGGCTTGGGTGGAAGTTTACAGTATTATACCTTCCGCAAAGATTCGTAGCGGCTGAGGGATTAGGACAATCGAGTGGTGTCCCAGCCCCTATTTTAGCCCTCGCTCGACTGCTCTGGGTTTTGACCATGAGTCACCCACTAGGCTCAATGCATAGTTGGAAAAATTTTTGTATATCACCATAAAGTGTATTAAATAACGCCAGTTTTATAACCTGCGTCAAATAACAAGATCATTGAGCCCAAACACGAAATAATTGCGACGATATTAAGTATACTTTTGGTTTTAAAATAGTAGACAGTTTTCGTGTCATGGTATGCTTAATATCATTGCAATTATTTCGTGTTTGGGCTCAATGTTCTTGTCATTTGATGCAGGTTACAAAAATGACATTATTTAATAAACATTTTGGTGATATACAAACATTTTACCAACTATGCATTGAGCCTAGTGGGTGACTCATTGTCAAACTCCAGAGCAGCCGAGTGAGGGCTAATTTAGGGGCTGGGACACCACCCGACCGTCCTAATCCTTCAGCCACCATGAATCTTTGCGGGAGGTATAGTAAGCTTAATAAAAATGGCATGCAGGACCTGTTTTGCTTCTTATTACAATTTTAAGTCATTTATGATAATCATAGTTTGACTAACTAAACTCGACTTGTGTGTTTCAGGTTTTAATGTACGGATATGAAAAACCAATCTTAGTGCCAGAGTCTGCTGAACAAGGAGCAAATGTGAAAAAAGGCAAGCCAAAGTCTTGCCAACCAAAAGCCAATCAGGAAGTGAAAATTCCTGGAAATAAAACGAAGGTAATTCCTTTCTCCAAAAAATGTTGTGTGATAAATTTTTGATTTCCTGCAGGCTTGTAAGTAGAAATTGTGTAGTTAACTTGAGTCTATTAAAATATGAAGGTTAATAAACAGTTTATAAATTGCAATAGAGTAGACTCCCTCTAGTTCAGCCACACAGGCACTCGGTACCGGACGTGTTACCAAAGGTTAAAATAACCGTATTAAATTAATTACCAACGCTTAAAAATCAACAAATAGCCTAACATTATTTTAATACTTTTTTGTTTTACCAAACTTAGCTTTTGACATCTTGAATTGTCGTGTTGTTTCCACTTAAGTTTTTGCAACACTGGACTAATTTGTCCCTATCAAGATGCTCTAGAATGCCAGGTCTTTTATTCCGTTGTCACAAACATATGTTAACGTTTTTCACTAATTTTAGAAGACATTTTGTTAACAGTTACTGTTAACAAAATGTCTTCTAAAATTAGTGAAAAACTATAACATATGTTTGTGACTATGGAATAAAAGACCTGGCATTCAGGTTTACTGTAAACCTGCATACTCACATTTAATCACGTGCAATGTTCAACCCTGAAAACCATGTAATACTGTACAGTAAAAAAAAAACATATTCTGAAGCACAGATCGAATTGCACTGTTTTTACAACCATTTAGAATAGAATAGAATATATATTTATTTTCTCAAAGAACTTACAATACATTGTACATCTTTCACAATTATTGTACATTAATTTTCACTTGAAGTAAAACAAAAAAAAAACAACTTGGTTATAATAAAAATAGACTTGAAATGAAATAAAATGTCCGTTGTTATCACCAGGCTGACAAAAGACAAGTTACAGTGATCTGAAGCACAAAAACAACCATACTGTATGTACAATAAAAGTGACCTTTTGTAAATTTATTTACAAATTTAATGTATACACAGAGCGATCAGATAGATATAAAAACAATACTAGTAAAAAACACAATGGTCTCATTTGAAATCTAGACCTAAAAACAATAAATGAGAAAGACAAATTATTATACAAAAAACCTGCCACTTATGTTTGATTCTTATCTATCATGTTTGTTATCTCTGGTTTGATAACTCGAAACCACGCACTGCACTAGTGCCACCAGGTGGCTGATAGCCCCAACCCAATAGCACATTACATACAATGTATAGACCCTGAGTGGCATAGCCCGCCAAAGTGTGTCCTTAACTGCTAAAAATACAAAATAAGATTCTCATTAAAGATTCTAATTTAATAATATAAATAATTCATCAATATCTTCCAATTGTGAAAGCCATTTCTTTACCTTATTTAAAAACACTTTTTGTTGATTATTAACATTTGTACATTTTCAGGGAGTTTCTTAAAAAATTTTAGTACTATAAAACCAAATGTTTTTGTAAAAAAGGTGTTTTTGGGCTTGGAAACTAAAAACTGGTTAGGATTTCTGAGCTTAAGTATATATTCATTTTCATTCCTGGGTATTTTCTTGTAAACTGAACTAAAGAGATTCAAAGCTTTAAAAACATACAAATATTTTAAAGGAAAGATTTTGTGCTGAATGAAAAGAGGTTTTGAAGGTTCAAATCTATTTTTATATGAAAATAATCTCAAAGCATGTTTCTGTTGAATAAATAATGGTTTTGTATAAGAGTCATAAGTATTTCAAGCGCAACTGATCACATGGAAGCCATATAAACTGACATAAATTGTTTACTTCTACGTTTGAAAACTAAACATTCAAATCCTGTTGAAGATCATTCACCTATGACAATGGGACTCATCCCCCTGAGACCGGCTGACCATCTGAGGCAGCGGAACTAGGGGGAGTCGAATATGATATTGTCAACACAATTTATACTCGTACATAGGGCCATATTTACACCCATAAAATATAAAAACAATATGATAGAGATCTGACTTTATAAAAGGAATTTATTATCAATTGAAACAAGCTTTAAGCTCTTCCTAAAATTATTTAGTTAATAATGTGTAGACTACTTAGAGTAATATTAAAATGTTGTTTATTTACTCATTTAGTCTCTTGGATCCAAGTTGATTTTTGGCCTCTACAAGATCATTGTATCCTTCTTGTATCCCTCCACCATGTTAACTTCTGTAAGTATCTTAACACCAACCACTTGGTCATTTGATCTTGGTGTTTCTGGTTGACCTGCCCATATTGTTATTGTTACGTTTTCCCCCCTCATGCCTTCTTACATGACCAAGCCACCTAATTATAATTCTTGCCGGCTGTCACAATACTTAATCTGCTGTACTTGAGCTCTCCCTTTTCCAGGACTATCTATGTTCCACTTTAAGTAGATCACTTTTCCTCTTATGAGATGTTTTTGTAGTACTATTTTTGTGAATTTCAGACCAACGGAGATGTAACCGGATCATCAGCAGCTTTGCTTGAACTGCTGAAAAAAGCACAAAACTGTCCAACAGGTAGCAACGGTGTTAAGAGTGTTGGGTTGTACAACCAATTAAAGGTAAGTGATACCATTGTTCAAACCCAGATTATCGAATTTTCCAAGGGAAGTAACTATTACCTTAGGTGGCACATTAAGACCTAGACTCGGAACTGTTGTGATTTCCCTAGAGTCCAAATATACAATCATGATAACCAGAGTAAAAATCATAGGATTAGTAGTAGGGATGGACGGGTCCCGAAATTTCGGGAATTTTTCGGGAAAAAAATATTCCCGATTATCGGGACGGGATTACATTTGATTCGGGAATTTTTCGGGACGGGATTTGGTCCGATCGTCGGCGATTTTGCCGCTTCGCGAGTGCCGATGACGCCGCTATTGCGAGCGATAGATCCGCGAACGCAGGAGACGAAGTCATTTCGACGATCGCGCCGTGACCGCGGAGTCCTACCGACGATCGCGCCGTGACCGCGGAGTCATACCGACGATCACGACGTGACCGTGGAGTCCTACCGACGATCGCGCCGTGACCGCGAGTCATACCGGCGATCACCCCGTGACCGCGGAGTCATACCGACGATCACGACGTGACCGTGGAGTCATACCGACGATCGCAACGTGACCGCGAGTCATAACGAAGATTGCGCTGTGACCGTGATTATTGGACCAACGATTGCACCGTAACCGCGAGTCATACCGACGATCGCGCCGTGACCGCGGAGTCATGCCGACGATCGCGCCGTGACCGCGGAGTCATGCCGACGATCGTGCCGTGATCGCGAGGCATACCGGCAAACACCCCGTGACCGCGGAGTCATACCGACGATCAAGACGTGACCGTGGAGTCCTACTGACGATCGCGCCGTGACCGCGGAGTCATGCCGACGATCGTGCCGTGACCGCGAGGCACACCGGCGATCACCCCGTGACCACGGAGTCATACCGACGATCAAGACGTGACCGTGGAGTCCTACCGACGATCGCGCCGTGACCGTGGGTCATACTGTCGATCAGGCCGTGACCGCGAGTCATACCGACGATCGCGCCGTGACCGTGAGTCACAAGTTTCTATAGGTACCTGTATATTGTTACCCATTTTTTTGGTTTTTATAGATCAGTACCACAATCGGTAAAAATTGATTTTGTATGTCTTTTTTTGGTAACTGCAATACTCAAGACTTTCTTTTTATGCACAGAAAAAATCCCGTCCCGTCCCGTCCCGAAAATCGGGAAGGAAATAAAATTCCCGTCCCGTCCCGTCCCGAACTAAAAATTCAATCCCGTCCATCCCTAATTAGTAGAAATTAAGTTAAAACGCGTAAACCTAGATTTATTCTAACGAGTTCATGTACCAGCATGGACAAACTTTAGAAATATGGTTTGATGGTTTAAAAGTTTACTCTTTCCATATTTGACCCTCAAACATAAAATTTTACGATTTGTTTCCAAACTATTTTATAGTGCTTAAAAAACAAATAATTTAGCGTTGTTATAAGCCTAATGGTTACGGAGTTAAAAAATTAATTTTACTATTTGTTTCTAAACTATTTTATAGTGCTTAAAAAACAAATAATTTAGCGTTGTTATAAGCCTAATGGTTACAGAGAAAAAAATTCATTTAAATTTCTCATGTTATTCATTACCTGCGGAGAAAAAAATAAACTTTTGGATTTTTCTTGTTTATGAATATATTTTGCTCACATCTGGAATTTTAATTCTAAGATATTTCCATTTCAATAAACCAAACACACTTTATACACACTATTTATAGCCTATCTTTGTAGCAGCAAACCCAAGTTATTCTCATTAAAATTAATGTTAATGAAAATAAACTTAGCAATTTTAAAAGATTATTTTACTGAAAATCCAACCTCGTAAATGGAAATTTGCTTAGTCTGCAGATTTGCTGCGGCAAGGGTATTGTATTTTCCTCAGGTAAGCTAGCTGAACTGTTCATTTTCAAAACAATTCCAAGTGACATAGTCAGAGCTCTTACTATTAACTTAGTTGTATCATTGAACCACTTTCTATGTGTGCAGCCAATGAAAGCAGAGCAAGGGCAGGTGATGTTGCTCTCACCAGCTGAGTTTCTGCGACCTCCCACTCACGTCAAGAAACCGATGTATGCGAGCATATTCCCGTCCTCACCTGACCCATCCACACTGCCGACCCCTGTGGGCTTCACACTAGCAGAGGTGAGTTCAAACTAACCTAATATACAGAACAATGTTACATGTTTAGGTTTAAAAAGGTTGACCAACATCACTTTGGGATGATCAAGTACACACAATTATAATGGAATTATAATGGAAATCATAATGGAACAACAGACTGTTTGGGAAAGGGAGAAGAGAGTGAGCTTGCTTAACCTGTGATTCTGAAGCCTAACCCATCTTCTCCTGTGCTCCTCCTGAGCTCATGACATTCAACTGACTGGCATGCATTCCCATAAAAGATTGCACAGAAATTCCGTGGTTCTATAAAGTCTAAGGCTGACGCTAAGTTTGTCAACTTGTCAGCCACATGGTTCCCTTCTATCCCTGAGTGTCCAAGAACCCAACAGAGTGTTACCGTGTTGCACTTGCTCAGGACGGATAATGTTGTGATGCAGTCCCAGACTACCTTGGAATTGAACTCGCAGATGTCAAGTGCTCTGCCTAGGGGCAGATAAACTTTATCCTAGTAAAAAAAAAAAAATAACAAATTAAGGGAAACACATAAAAATTTAGGTATGCCTTTTCATTTTATTTTATTAGATAAATTGTTTTCAGGCCAGCAATGTAGGCCTACTTGACCTCGGTGTCAAATTACTGGAAGATATTGAGGTGACCGATCACAACCGATGTAAGTAAGAAAAATTCATTTTGCAATGAGTTACATTCTAAGTACAGTAGACTCCCTCTAGTTCGGCTTCGGTTGGATCGGCCGCCGGATAGTCCGGCCTGGTCTCAGGGGGACAAGTCATATCGTCGTGGGCGAATGACCTTCGACAGCATTCAACTTAAAAGTTTAGTTTCCGGCCATAGAAGTAAACAATTCATGTCAGTTTGGTTGACGGGTGCTTCTATGGCTAAATTGTTGCATATTACCTATGTAGAACTATGTTACATAACCTCAAAAATCACATAAACAGTTTTTCTTTAGTCTAATATGTTGAAATGCAGTGTATAATTAAATATTTTGGACCATTTTTTATGCGGTACGATCCCCCATTATTGTTTTTGAAACACCATGGTTTATTTGACAAAAAGAAATTAAAGCAAAACAAAGAAATAACCATCGTTAGCTTCAAGGTCAAGCTATCCGCTTGCACTGACAATCATCTGCTCTTTACACAACTGTCTGCTGTGCGCTTGCTATCTCACAACAGTTTGTGATTGGGTGATTAGTAACCATGGCAACTTGTTGAATGTGTGGATTAGGGATGGTCAAGTCTCGAAATTTCGGGAAATTTTCGGGAAATTTTAATTCTCGTTACACGAGACGAGATTTTTTTTGGCCGAGATTTTTATCGAGACGAGAATAAAAAAAAAAAAAAAAAAAAAAAAAATTAAAAACGCCTGCAGAAAGTCCATGCAATACCCGCAATACCGGAGCGTGTTGTAGTTGCGTTTCCTTTGCGAAGGCGTTTTTATTTAATAAATTCTTTTAATGTAAATATTACTTTAATTATTTTAATAATATTACTTAAATAACTTTTGAAAAGTTTTGTTAAGTGTAAGCAGTGTGAGGAATGTTTTATTACTATAAAAAGTCAAAACAAGTAACTATTTTATAAAAATTATAAAAATTAATATTGCTTTTATTTTATGATTTATTTTATTTTAGGATAAGTTGAACTCTATCCTTACTGATATCACTATGTTTCCTAATCGTAGGCATTTTTAATAAGTTAGGCGTGATTAATAAAAAAATGTTATGCTGATGTTTTTTAATAAAATATTGTAAATATTCTTGCCTATTATCATTATTTTTGTATTTAAACAGTCATCTAACAATGTTACAAAATCAGGTAAAAATTTTGAACGTGCATTTCCCGTTGTGTATGAGAAGGGAAATCCCGTCTCGATCTCGTCTAGAAATTTTATGAGAAAAAAAATCTTGTCTCGTCTCGTCTCGAACTAAAAATCCAATCTCGTCCATCCCTAGTGTGGATGAAGAGAAACCAAAGAAAGAATAGAAGAACAAAGAAGAAAAAATAAGCGGTGTTTTACGTCATCCATTGTTATCTTTATCTATTTTATGACTGCCGTTATTATCTTTAATACTAACTACTATGATTTTATTCTGTTTTATGAGTTATTTAATGTTTTTATTGACATTCTTATGTTCTGAAACAACATATAGTAGGCAGTTTCTATTGTTCTGTTCTTTACGTGATTTATTGCTGTACGCACAGTGTTGTGTAATTTTTGTTTTGCTTGAGTAAGCGTGATTTTAAACGTTACAGTTTTTATTACTGAATCAAGGTTAACATATCACGATTGCGCAATACTATTATTTGTATTTTGATTATGTAAAATGCACTACATCCGGTTAGTCCGGCCGTTTTGTAGTCCGGCCAGTGGTCCGGTCCCGAGGTGGCCGAACTAGAGGGAGTCTACTGTATCAATATAACTAGACAAAGGTTTGATTGGAAAAGGGCTTATTGCCTGAGAGTTAAAGAGACAATGAATAGAATTAGCTGGCTTACCTTAAAATTGTAGGCATCCCACTTCACAAAAGCAACAAAAAAGACAAGCTGAATATTTTTAGGCCACTGGCCCTTTTTTCAACATTGAAAGTCCCTAGATTTTGGAAGTTCTTCACTGGTAAAATTTACAAATCTAGACTTCTAGAATCTAGTGAATCGATGTTGAACCAATGTTGAATCAATGTTGAATCAATGTTGAATGCCAGTGCCTCGAAATATTCAGTTTTGTCTTTTGTTTTTGTTTTTTAGTGAACTTCCTTATAGGGAAGTAGCTATTACCATATGCAGTGTTAGGGAAGCTACTTTTAAAATGTAGCTGGCTACAACTACTGCTACATTTCCAAAAAAGTAGCTTAGCTACAGCTACAGCTACAGTTCCGAAAAAGTAGCTAGCTACAACTACAACTACAATGAAATGTAGCTACAGCTACAATTTTAGCTACTTTTCCAAAGACGTTAATTTTTATTCCACGCACATTAGGTAAACGTAAAATTAATTGCAACTACATTTTTATTGAACAAACATAAAAAAAAATGTCAGTATTGTATCTAACATTACTTGGAAAACAAATTATTCCTAGATTGTATTTAATTTGTTGGCAATATAAACCTAACATAACAACAACAGAACCAAAGTTGGGTGTCCCATCATATTTAGTAATTATTTTTAAATATTGCATTATTTTTAAGCATCTTAAAATGTAATTTTCATTAAGTTCAAAGGACATACAACCCAACTATATTTTAAAAGCTAATTTTATTAATTTAATATAGATTCATTTATAGATGTTTTATATCAACAATTAAGACCAATAAAACTGCAAAAAGATGATTTAAAAATACTTTTTGTGTTACAGAGCCTAGCCTAATGAAATTGGAGTTTATTGCCTTTCTTTACTTTTAATGTTAAAAACAACATTGCTATAACTTTTAAAGTGATAAATTACTTATTCTACGAATAACACTTTTCAATGTCAAGAAATCGTCCTTTATTGTCATTATGCATAGGGCAAATTGTGCTTCAATCTATAGTTGGTAGAGAAAACAGTATTCAGCAACTTATCCTGAAATCGGCTTTTAATTTAAACATGATGAAATTTGTAAAGTAAAAATAACATGTAGGCCTACTTGGCTATGTAACAAGTTGGCTATAGTAGGTTTGTTCTTGCAAGAACTAAACAGATATATTCATAATAATTGAACTTTGTATTCGTCTTAAACCATAGCCTCAGTTCTATACAAGAGCTGTTAGCAGGAGCAAACTATGCTATTTTTTCAATGTAAGTTTCATGTTATATGGAGATTTTTTCATTACAATTATCATGTGGTCTAGGCATATCTTAAATCTCATCAGGTAATTTCCTCTTTGTTAATTTAGTAAACCTTTGAAAAATCCTCGTAATCTAACCAAGGAAGGGTTTGTGATGATAAACCACAATCAACAGCTGAAGCAAAGGTTGATAGACCAGTTTTCTCATTATTTCAAGGTGTGTTGGTTTCCATTAAACCCTAAGTTGAAGCATTATCGAAATAATAAAGAAACTAAATTGATTACTAATTCCCCTGTCCTGTCAATCACTTGCAAGCATTCAATTCAATAGCTTCTCTTGTCACCGGTACCGTTTAAACGTTGTCTGCATCTAGCGATTTTATTTTATCCGACAGTAATCATAGAGTAGTAAATTAAGGAAATGAGAGCCAAAAATGTGGATAACACTCATTTAATGGCCTCTATGTCCACACAACGTTGTAATAGGGAATGAAACGGCTGCAACCAGCTGTTTGAAGCCAAGAAAGTAGGCCTAATTTTTTTGAAAATCTCAGTTTGAAAGAGGTTGTTTCACGTAAGGTTGAGGTTATGATAAAAATCACTATCTCAAACAAATGTTAGTAGCGAGAAAAGTAGCTAAAATTCCGCTACAACTACTTTAAAAATGTAGCTAGCTACAGCTAAAGCTACAAAATCTTAAAAGTAGCGTAGCTACAGCTAACGCTACAAAAAAAGTAGCGCGCTACTGTAGCGTCGCTACTTGTAGCGCGCTACTTCCCAACACTCACCATATGTCTCATGGTAAGACACTCATGGTAAGACACTAGGCCCGGGACCAATTAAATTTTCATTTTGATGTACCCAGAGGCAAAATACACCTTTCGTTCAAAACTATTTTTTAAATAATAAAATTTTTCTTCTATTAATATTAATTACAGTAGCCCTACAAATTAATAATATCCAATATAATATCCATATTATTAATACGCTACATGAAACTTTAAACTTGAAAAAGACCCTTGGGCTCTACCCCAGTGGTTTTAAAGTGTTTTTTTTTAAATTTATAATCGTTATTATGGACAACCTAATGAGGCTGTGATTGGGAGACATTTGTAGAAAACACTATAACACAAGATTAGCTTTTGAACAATGATAAGATATTTACAAGAAATGTTGATTAAATCAAACTGTTATGTACATTGTGAGTATTTCCATAATCATTGAGTCCACTCTTGTATAGTCATCAGAAACTATGACTGTTATTCGTTTTAAAATAACGCCTGTAATACTTTACAATTGCTCGAACTCGAGCAACAGGTACACTAGTATATATATATATATATAATATATACAGTGTGTAAATTAAGTCTGGCACACATTTTTTATCTTTTTTTCTATAGTAGATAGAAGAAATCAATTTGCAGGACTGATTAATAACAAATGTTAGGCACTTTTTACACATTTTGAAAATAAAAATTCCCTTAAGGGCAAGGTGGGGTGGGGGGTAACTAAAAATTTTCAAATGACAACCCCCATCTTGTGACCCCTCATTTTAAAGGTCATTGGAAGACAAATCCAAAGATGTGTCTGAAAAATTTTTTTTGCACCCTATCCAAGATGGCGGTTTAAAATGTACTTAGGGTTGAACCGGTAAATTAGGTATGGCACTCATTTCTTATCTTTGTTAGTCTTTGTAGATAGAAGGAATTAATTTGCGGGACTGAGTAAGAACAAATGTTTGGCACTTTTTCATAATTTTGAAAAAAAATTCCCCTTAAGGGTAAGGTGGGGGTGGGGGGTAACTAAAAATTTTCAAGTGACAACCCCCATCTTGTGACCCCTCATTTTAAAGGTGTTTTGAAGACAAATTTAACGATGTGTCTGAAAATTTTTTAATATGTTTCAGACTTAATTCACCCGTTCAACCCTAAGTAAATTTTAAGCCGCCATATTAGACAGGATGCAAAAAAAAACATTTTCAGACACGTCATTAAATTTGTCTTCCAAATACCTTTAAAATGAGGGGTCACAAGATGGGGGTTGTCATTTGAAAATCTTTAGTTACCTTCCACCCCCACCTTACCCTTAAGGGGAATTTTTTTCAAAATTATGAAAAAGTGCCAAACATTTGTTCTTACTCAGTCCCGCAAATTAATTCCTTCTATCTACAAAGACTAACAAAGATAAGAAATGTGTGCCATACCTAATTTACCGGTTTAACCCTAAGTACATTTTAAACCGCCATCTTGGATAGGGTGCAAAAATTTTTTTTTCAGACACATCTTTGGATTTGTCTTCCAATGACCTTTAAAATGAGGGGTCACAAGATGGGGGTTGTCGTTTGAAAATCTTTAGTTACCCCCCACCCACCCTTACCCTTGAGGGAATTTTTATTTTCAAAATTTGTAAAAAGTGCCTAACATTTGTTATTAATCAGTCCCGCAAATTGGTTTCTTCTATCTACTATAGAAAAAAAGATAAAAAATGTGTGCCAGACTTAATTTACACACTGTATATATATATAGACAGAGAGAGAGAGAGAGAGAGAGAGATAGGCGTATGTGTCCGTGAATACAATAACTCGAGAGTAATTTTTTTCCGATTTTGATGAAATTTGGCTTGAAGGTGTAGGGTGGGATAAACTCTAATGAGTTCGTGAACCAGCATGATCGAACCATAGAAACGGGATTTTATGGGGTAAAAATTGGGGTTTCTCATTTTTGACTCACAAAACACAAAATTTCCCAATTTCTCTCTAGACCATTTTGAAGATCTTAATAAACAAATAATTTAGTAAGGTTAAGTTTTTCTATACGCTTATTGATAACAGAAAAATTCAAAAAGATTGTAAATTTGAAATTCCTTATATAGGCTAGTTATTCTTGTGGAGAATATTGTAAACTGTTGCAGTTTGCTTGTTTATGGATATATTTTGATCAAACTTGGTAAATTGATTTATTTGATATAAATTGACAAACCTAGGTACTCGTTAAACTTAATGTTATTTAAATAGAATTAATTGAAAATTAAATCAGGCAAAAGGGAATTAGCTTAGTCTGCAGGTTTGCTGCGGCGGGGGTATTCATGTTGCTTTTTGTTAAGTTAGATGCCTACAATGTTTAAGGTAAGCCTACTCATCCTGTCCTTTGTCTCCTTAATAACTTAATTACCTTTCTCTCCATTACCGGATTAATCATTTTGTATATCACTGGTTTGTGATTTGATGATAATTGTAATCCGTTGAATTTTCTTATAGGTATGCAAGGAGCAAAGTTGGCCCCGCAGTTTTGTTCCCCCCTGCAGCTCAAGTAAGTTGAGTGACGCCGACCCAATTAGTCTTTCATAACATTTCCGTAACTCAAAGAGGGACTAGTTATATCTTTGATACTTTTTTTAATGAAAGTACTTTTCCAACCGAAGAGACTATTGAGGCATTTCCCGACGAAGATTCCTTCTTATCTTTCTTCGATCAGGACCATCTTATAGAGATTTATTATAGTTTTATTTACAAAGTATTTTTAGACTGGTATTGTGATTAGATACTTTATTTAACGCCAACATCTGCACATATGATGTCGATATTTTTTTTTTAGTTTTTGATTTTAGATTTAGTACCTAGGCATATCAAGTGAAAGGGTACGGAAATCGAAGGAAACTTTCAAGTTCTATTGCTTGATGTGTTATTAAGAGTTTTGGTAAATTAGAATTGTCGTTTGATGAATGAAAAGTCTTTAAAGATTATAAGGATGGATTATAAGGATGGATACAGTTTGGATTATGTAATCGTTTTACAAATTAATTTAAGATTTTTGCTTTTGAATCATACCAATTATCACTATTAGAGTTGATGATCATTAAAAATCTTATGATTATCAAGGTAACTAAAGTAAGGTTATTAAATTAAGAGTGGTTGCAGTTTTTGAACGTATTGTGTTTGTTATGTTAGGCTGGTCTTATTGGACAAAATCCAACAGGGATGTTTAAAACTTGGTTAAAAACTCAGTTGAATTTTGTCCAGTAACAAACGTGTATGGAGTTTTGTTAGATCTACCACAAGACCAAATAATAGTAGTAATAGTGTTTAGTTTTAGCTTCAATTTTTTTTTTGTTAACAGAAAAGGAAAAAAGGTAAAAAATATATTTGTTATACAATATCAATATGTTGATATTAGATTCCTTTGACTGTGGTTTTCGGTTAGGTGATTAAATTGATGTTAAGGTTGAGAGTGATTTTAATGAATTTCTCATTCTTAATGTTTTTAATCACTCATTAGAGTTTAATATTGTAATTTTCTTAGTTATGTCCTTTGTAAAGATTATATATGTATTTAATTTTAAACTGTTGAGTATGAGTATATTGAATGAAATAATACAAGTTGATTCTTGTAATGAAAAGTCTTTGGGATTAAGGGAAATTCCTATAGTAAAACTTTTCTTTGTAAATTTCAAATTATGATCAATAATATAGATTTATATATTTAATTTTTTTTTGTTTTTTATTGTTACAAATGAATTTAGGATGTCTGGAAATACCGCCTAATGAAACTGTTTGTAATTCTCAATAATGTAGAAGATTTTTCAACTTAGACTATTCATATCCATACAATAATGTATATATTTGTTCAAAATTTAAATAAACATAAAACTTTTTAATTTTTTAATTTGAAAAAATTGATTTTTTGTAAAGTGTAATTTTTACTGAAATGGGCGAGTTATAGATATTTGAACCCTCAATAAAATAAATAGTTCTCAATTGACTTTCCACTTACAGTCTTACCAAAGTTTAGTTTCTCACACCACTCCTTCCATGATGAAAATCCCAAGACCCTAGGGTATTCAAAAAATGAAAACTTGTCTTTTAGGCCTACTAAACTAGACCGTATGTAAATGGTCCGGTGAAAATAGTTAAAGCTGTTATTTTAAAGAAATTCTGCAACATCACATAAACTATCATCGAACCATTTCTATTTGGTCTATTCTGATTCCAGATTTAAAATTAGGTACATGAACTTTTAACAAGTTGGTCCAGAGGAACAAATGTTAAGTTATATTTTTGTTAGAGATATAATTAATTTTGTTATTTCCAGCATTTATTTTCACTTCCTAATCTTTTACATTAACTATTTAAAACTACAAAAAACAGTTGGTAGTACAGTACAACTCTGCTAATCCGTCACCTACGGGACCGGGACCTTGGTCGCAACAGTGAAAATCTTTAATTGTCCGAGGAGCATATTAATGACTGTTTTTGCTTGACTGACATTTACTGTAACGGAAACTGTAACTGTTGCATTATTTGTGTTCAAAATTATATTTTACTATAGTTGACTATAAATACAGTAAAGGATATATAGTCAATAAATGGAGGTTAATAAACAATTCCTTGTTCAGTACGGAAGAGATATGAACATCATTAACACACTTAACCTAAAAGTTTCAGTAGTATGTAATTTAATTAACATAAGTTGAAGGTAAATAATTTTGTTTTTATTGCCACACAGGCCTCTATATTTTTAGAATGAAACCTGAATTTTCAAGAAACATGATAATATTAAAATGATCATTATTATCTTCAACGATCATGACAAAATCATGGACTTCTTGCGTGATCCTGGATACATTATGGTTGTATCTCACTGGCCACCATAAAATCATGAATACCTTCCGTGATCATGGCAACATGATGACCGTCTTTCACAATCGCAGAAAAATCTCAGTCAAACGGAACAATCCACCGGAAATCCAAATGCTATCGACAGGCTGATACGGTCGGTTTAAGTGAAGAGTCAGAGTTAGCGAGGTCGGATTTGTACTTTTTGTGAATTCCTGAATCCATCTAAATGGCATTGTCAAAGAGATCTGAATTACCTTATTTACAAGCAATCTTTTGATGTTAGCAAATAGAGCATCCCATATAACTGAGTGTGTAAGTTTTAGAAACACAGTTTGAAATAATATCCTAGGTTTTTGGGATTTTCTCTCTGCTTCTTGATTTTGGCTGTTTAAAAGTTTGTGTAGTATAGTATTTACATTGTTTATTTAATATGTATATATTGATTATTTTATACAGTTTTTCGTAATTGCTTCATGGAAACAGGATTTCTAACAAAATTATTAGTGCAATCGAAAATTCTGAGATCAGTTATTAAAAGCCTTCAGAATATTACCGTTTTTGTTTTCAATAATGTTTTACTCGTGAAACACCATCATAAAAAAATCTATGACTCGCCCTGTAAATTCTTTGTAGCTTTATCAAATGTGTGGAAAGTGTATATACATCGCGGAATTCATTTGATAGTTTTGACATGTTTTAAATCACCTTCTGTAAAGATAGTTTGTAGCCAATGTTATGTCACTTATTGTACATTTGTAAATATCTTTTGTAAAAATTTGCATGTTTACAGAATATGTCTACTACTGCCAAATACCAGGTTAATGTTGTACAAATATTAGGGTTTATGGTAAGTGCAGTCATGTAAGAAAAACATCGTTGGGTTGGCTTAAGAAGTTCCGTTGCAATAATGGCCAAAAAATGAAAATTTATGCATGTTTGAACAATTATTTTGCATTTTCATTCTGCTATTAGAAGTACAGAGGTTTAAGATCAATGATTCAATTTTTGTCAATATATCCAAACTCAAATTCAATTCTGATAGTGTTTAAACTCTATTTTTTCAGTAAAAATGTATGAGTTTGCTTATTTTTCCCCCCCCAATTAAAGTTTATTAATCAAAGATGTGAGCATTTTTACCTACAACAGTAAAAATATGTATTTTTAAGTTACCTTTATTACTAAAAGAACTAAACAATGCAATATAACCCACACTTCTTGATAATAACAATGTAAATAAAAAATTGTAATAAGTTTTAATTTGATGATTAGATAAAAGCAGATTTTCTTTTAACATAATGATACCTGCAACACCTAAATATAACTCTAGTCAAGAAGTTTTTTTAAATTTTTTATTGTTAACATCTAATAATAATGAATTACATGTTGAAGAATGTTGTTATTAATTGTTCATTATGTGTGAAAAAAATAAATGATCATCAACATTTAATGGAAGAATCAAAATAATTTCAGACATTCATAAAAATATGTTTTTAATAGGCCCGAGATTATACAATTTAAATTGAGGTTTTGTTTTTTCTTACATGACTTTTTCCTGATCTCCAAATGTTAATTTTCTTATGTAAAGTTTGTACAATGTATATTTTTATGTAGATATGTTTTTAAATGCTTGTAATTTTTATCCTTGCATTGCCTGTGACTGTCTTTAAACATCAATCTGTAAAAAAAACGCTTTTGTAGAAATACATTTATTTACTGTGAGTTTTATTCTTGATTTATATGGTTTGATCAAGAATTGCCATACATGTGTACATTGTGTTTGACAGTAAGTTGTTAAAAGTGTAAATTCACTTTAAACTTAAACTGGGCGGATTAAAACTGTGATTGAGGTGTAAACATCTCTATGGAGTTTGAATGAAAACTGTTCTTAGTTATCTGATTTGTTTTTTTTACTCCTAAAGAGTTCTGAAAATAGCTGTCAAGACTTTAAAATAGTGTTTCCAAACTTATTTGAAACATTTTAAAACTGTCTTAACAGTTTTGGCAGAGCAGTACCTCCTGCAGTGCCCCTGTTAATCCGCCCACGGCATTACTAGTTTGAAACTATTCCAACTTGGAAATTGATAAAATAGTTTATACACCAGTTGAACATATAAATCTCTCTAGTATAAAAGAGTATTCTTCATTATCGGGTGTAAATAGTGTAAAAATATTGAAACATTTTATTTGGAATGTTCCTGAAGCAAAAAATAAGTAAGATAATTCTTATCGCAATAAGATAGAGAATATATATATTTTGTATTTTTTAATTTCAAAAAGAAAGTTTTATAAGAATATTAACATGCTTTTCAGTGGTATATTCAAAAGGTTTTGGGACTAAAGCATTTTAATTTGATCGTATAAAAGTATGGTATTTGTTATCAGCCAGTTAGTGAAGGCGAAGAATCTCTTTAAATTTACCTAATTTGATTCAGTTTTGAATTTTATTCAAACAAATTTTTCATTGTTGTTTGTTTTTTTTTTAAATATATTATTATCCTGGCCTAGTCAAAGAAGCATGATTTCTTTGCTTTACTACCAATGAGAGATAATAATACCATATTTTCATTTAGTTATTAAGTGTTACAATTGTTTAGTTAATTATTGTGATGATAAAGTATATTTATGTGAAATGTTCAACAAATCTCTATCGAAAGACTATACCACACAATAAGATTACATCTGAATGTACATTAGATTGTGTATTTGTGTACACTTCTTGAGTTTTGTGTACAAATCTGTAGTCATTTATAATTGTGTCTATAGATATTATTATAAGTGTTTCCAAGGCTCACCAGTCAAGGCTGATTATTATTATGGTAATAGCTATAACTTTAGTAAACTATTGTGATTTTAAATTTTTCTTGACTGTAAAATATTATTGATTGAAAAAGGGTAACTTTTATAAAAATATATTTTTTTAATGAAGTAAATACCTACACTGTGAATTGAATTTCTTAAAATCAGGCAATAGCTTTTTGAGTTTACAACTATCTAAACTTTGTCAAAATAATAATTTTTAATTAACATTTGGTTATAATGTCTTAAAATTAAATAATCACATTTTACATTACACACAAAATGTATACTGACAAATATTTACTACACATCTATGTAGTATTTTTATTTTCAGACAGAATTATGATGAAAAGTACATTTTCTGTAAGGAAAATACAAAACGACAAAACGTAACAAACCTTAAGGCAAGACTCGAATTATAAAAATATGCCTTATTAAGATAATAGTTGTTCATACAACATTACCATAATAGAATAAATCATCTCAGGCCTTGAACTAAACCTGCCGAATTTATACGTTTCATTTCTTTGACTGTGAAACTATATGTCTGATATTGTTAGATAGTACTTTTATCCTGACGGCACTTTATCCTTAGTGGTTTTTATACTTTCAAAATTAGGGGAGTCTAAGTAACTGAGATCTTGTTTCAGTATTGAACTACCTTTTGTAGTTTTCCTTTTAGTAGTTGTCATTTTGGTCAATTTAATTAAGGATTTTATAATATTAGTTTTAAAAACCCCTAGTACCAGAACTATTTTATTTAAACCTGTAATTTTGTATCAAATTACAACGAAATAAGAGTTTAGAATTATCTACCAATCCTTGCTCCCTCATCCCCACAAAAAACTGTCCATCACTTTCGACAATGTGAATACCAACTCTTTGGAACTACACAAAAAGAACTTTTCCCTCAACATAAAGAAAAAGTATGATTCATTTGTTAGTATGAGTGGGTTGTATAACCATCTTAAAATTCATTGGAATTTTTTCCAAATGTTGAGAACTTTACTTTTGCATTGGTTGAACCATAAAAGCAGCTGATTTCAACTATAGAAATAACTTGTTAACAAACACTAGCTAATACAACTTAGCTAATATTTCCCAAGATAAAAGTTCACAGAGTTCCACAGAGATTGGTTCCCTATTATTTAAGACCGTAATAATAGAAGGATCTTTATGGTAAGACTAGGCATCGCAATTCCTATGGTCATAGGACTTATGATGTAAACTTAGTATAAGTTTATGGTGCTAGGTGGGATTGCGGCGCAATCCCTACCCTAGGTTACTGAAATGCATTTATGAAACTTGGTTTCTCCATCATTTTCAGAGTTTGATAAGTCATCTGGGTAAAAAATCACATTTTTGTATATCTTTAATTTGAATAAACGATGATATTTTTATTTTTACTATTGTAAAACACTGGTTTAATGCAAGGGTGTCCAACTTAAAAAAACATTCATAGCTATAAAAATTATTGCCGATTAAAATTGGGGGATATAGGCCTAACTGAGCACATTTCAACCCAAATGTGAGCGAATGATTGTGTGGATTGGAGTGAGATGTCTTGTATAGCTTATTACTGACAGAGATCAGCTATTTCTTTAGCTAATACCGTTGATTAAGCCTAATGATTAACAATAAGGGTTCAGCTCAATCATTAAAAAACTTTATCAGGTTCGAACCGAGCACCCTAACCAATCGACTACTCAAATATTATACTCAATTTTAATCATACCATTGGGAACGCCATTCATTGAAAAAAAATTGTTGGGCATCCTTGAATTAGAATAAGTAACACCCATACATCTGATATTATATTCAGAGTATTACTGATAATTCACATAATATTTAAGTAATTGGTTGAATTTGAACACAATAGTAAACCTTATCTGTTTACTCCTGATGTTCTTAATATTTAGTTTATTCCTCTCAATGGTGTTGTAGACTCGGAATGTAATAAAATGTATCCACTGTTCTACCACAATACATTGGAACTAAGAACACCAAATCATATTGTTAAACATAGATTAAACAAGTTTCATTTCTGGTGACTATATTCTGTTTAATCTGTGTTGGTAAATACAGCAATTGGTTTGCAAAAGTTATTACATTCCGGATTTGTATTGGATAAATTTACCATTTGGTTATATTACTTTTGTTTGAGACTTAGTTATAAAATTTTAAAAATTTCTCTTTTAAGAGGAAACAATTTATTTGCTTTTTTTCACTAGTATTTGGGTCATACCTAAATCATTTGACAAACTTGAAAGAGTTATTCCAAACAGATACTTATATTATGAGCTCTTAAAGTTTTGACTATTAATATTCCTGCTGTTTTCTGCTCAATGCTTGGTTAGACAGCCAAATCAAAAACCGTACTGTGACAAACTGTACCTGAAAATAGCTAAAGGGTAACTATAAATCTATTTTTCGTTATACTGCAGCAAAAACAGCCGTTTTTAACACGTGTTGTGGGTCTAAAGTGGCTCTTTTACTCTCTAGGAAGTAAAAAGCCTTTTTAGTCCTAGGGAGTAAAAGTCAGCTGATGTAAAACACAGTTGTAAACTTAGATTCCATCAATGTATGCATTGCAATGCATGTAATAACAAGTGCAGTGTAACATATTTTTTTCAAATCTTGCTCTTTTTTCTTTACTATGAAATAAAACAGAATTCATTTTCTTACGGTAAAATAATACAAGCAAAAAAATATCTTAAGTAACTGTTTTACAAGGTTTACTCTATGTCATACTTGAGACACTTGCGCTTGACTAAAGATATTTAGTTGATTCTCAAACAGGAACAGGGAAGTAGGAATAGCTCAAATTAGTCATATTTTGTGCAAACATCATTTTTGATTGTGATTATTAAAAAAAATGGATTATTATTACTAATCGTGCTGCAAATTTATAGTTTACAGTACTGTTAACTCTTTAAGTATTACTTACATTAACTAGATGGACTACACAATGAAATAGAGATTGTGAGCATGTGTATGTTTTGATTGTGTACTTTAAACGTCAATACGGCAAATATGTGATGTAGTACTTAAAAAGGTAACTGATAACCAGATGGTAAATTTATTATAAATGTTTTGTGGAACAAAATAAAATTATTTCAACAGAAAATCACTTGTTACTTTCCCTTCTGTTAATTCAACAGTATATTTTTTTATTAGAACCAAGATATATTTGAACACCTAGTTGTAGTCAGATTTTCAACCTCATGTTGAGTGGATACAGAAAGATCACACTATCAGATGAGCATAATACGAGAGTCTAATGGATTCTGGCCAGGAAGTCAATAAACTTATTTACATGGAGAAAAGGTTCATAGTATTTCAAAAGTCAAGTTTCAGTTTTTGCCACAATACACAGTATGTAATTCAGTGACGGATTATGACCTCAGCGGCCCCTAGGCACATGTAAACTTGCCCCCCCCCCATGGGCGTAATTTCAGACTTTAAACTGGGGTGGCAAGATCCCCCCCCCAGGTAGAGGGGGGTCTGGGAAACTGGCTTTAAATTTGTTAGTTTTATAAGCTTTATAGTTTTATAAGTCGAGTTTTAGTTTTTGCCACAATACACAGTACGTAATTCAGTGGTGGATTATGACCTCAGCGGCCCCTAGGCACATGTAAACTTGCCCCCCCCATGGGCTTAATTTCAGACTTTAAACTGGGGTGGCAAGATCCCCCCCCAGGTAGAGGGGGGAAGTTGCATTAACTTTTGAACCGTAATTTTTACAGGAATTGCAATTATTGGTTTTTATGGGAAAATAACATAATTTACAATAACTTTTGAAAAGTAATTTTTACAGCAATGTTCACTATGTTGTTAAGAATTATTATAAGGACCATCGTAATAGTTTAACACAATAGTTCAACATTAAACTATAATAAAATTATATTGAATTTTAGCCTCCTGATTGCATTTATATACTATAAATTGGTGTAAATACCTGCATTTATGCGATCCTGTTTGTAGCTCTGAGTTGCTACCGGTTTCAACTCGCATAGGAGTCAGGCTATTAAAGATGTCTTCTCGCTATTTAATAGTCTGAAGACGACTCCTATGTGAGTTGAAACCGGTAGCAACTCGGAGCTACAAACAGGATCGCATAAATGTAGGTATTTACACCAATTTATTATACAGTAAAAAGTTCACTAATTTACCCATTGTTAAAAGTCAACCAACTCTTTGAAGGTTCATAAATAATACAAAATACAAGTTCAACAATCTACTTTATTTATTTGGACATAACATTTTGGGTAAACAATATAACAAAGCTAAAAATAATGTTTCATTAAAATAATATCTTTAATCCCTACACCAAGATTTAAATCCAGGGGCAATGCTGCAAAACTACTGATATCTGGATAGTTTTGCGTCAGTATTGCCACTAATCACTGTTTACATGTTAAATCTTATACAATATTTCTAATCTACAGAACGTTTAGTATTAGTGGAAAATCTTTTCTACAGAATTGTACACGATACAAAATATAAACTATATCTATACAAATGTACGTGAATTTTAATTCACTTAATGCCATATTAAAAAGTTGTTCATAATAAAATCAGCAACTTCTGAAAGTTTTCAAAACATTTTGCAAATATTGGGTGTTTGGGTGCATAAAACAAAAAGGCACATTTTAGGAATTAACTGTGTTTAAACAACATACTGTGTTCTTTTACTCAATTAGATGGTTCTTAGGCTTAATACTTATTCATAAACTGGCTGTTTTAGAGGCTGTGGAATAAAATTAATCTTTGTGGGACATCAGTCAATGTTTTGAAGAGATTTAACGGGGTTTTGTATTATTTTATTAAACTAATGACTTCAAATAGTTTATTTATAGAAATTTTAAATGGACGAACCTCCATTTACAGTCAAACCTGCCCAAACATGCCGTATAACAAAATTCATCATTATTATAGATTATCATTTGTTTACGGCAGAACATAAAGTTACTAAAATTTTAATTCTGTTGTTGGATTTGACTGGTACTCAGAACAATTTTTAGGCTTTTTGGATTTCTGCGTGGTTATGAGAAGTAGGCCTAATCCAACTAAAACCCTCATATCTTATGATTCCGTACTAAAATAAGGACTTTGCAGATTTAAATTTTTAAGTCAATTGAAAATAACTATGTTATGAACAAAGTTAATAAATTTTATGTAAATCAAAATTATCGTGATTTATTACTTGATATCTCTTACTGTTTATTACACGTGAAAAGTCTCATATGGTTATAAAACAAGTGAACAATATATACAAATTTACACAGTTTTTAACTATTTGAAAAATACCATCTCTATCCACATCTAAATCTCAACCAGTTCTAAAAATACACTAGAGCAACATTTAAAGAAAAGTTTGTACAAATAAATCGCAAACAATAAACCATCAAACTGGAATCTGAAAACCATCAAAATACTTTGAGAACTAATAATTTCATTTCCAGCCATTATGTTGAGTTACAAAACTGCAGCACTTCGTAACAAAAACAAGAAAGCGTACAGACTAGATTAAACGATTAAACAAAACAATAACTTTAAGCCCATATTTCTGTACAAACATTAACCTACTAACTGTGGACTACATTAGTAATACTCTAAATAAGGACGGAATAATTAATACGTGAGGTTATCATACATGCAGTGATCGTAATGTTAATGTTAGTAATTAAAAAAATATAAATTACACCTTAAGACCTTATATTTACAAGTCTACAATATATAAGGTATGAGCAATGTAAGGTGGTAAACCTGTTAAATACAGGCTTGAAAATCTTACGAAGCAGAAAGCATTGTCGTAAATGTGATTAAAAATGTGGTTAGGACTTGAGTACTAAGTATCAATGCAACACATATCGAGAAGTAATCACACACTTTCATTGATTAAGACTTTTAGGACAGCAATAAGCCCTAAAAATAGATTGTGATGAAATAATGTTTAAGGTAACCAAAACTATTACATAGTGCTTACTGATGTACCTATATTTGTTTTAGAAGTACAATATAGGCCCAAAAGTGAAAAGTGTATACATTTTCTTTGTTAAAGTAGGCTATTTGTTTGCATTTTCCAAACTGAAAGGGCACGAAGATATTGTTGTTTATCCGTAACCAAAGTGATTACCTACTATACTAGACCACATAAGTGTAACAGAACGTTTGAAGCAACAAAACTAAATAATCCCTATATTAAATTAAGATAAAACAGATTTATTGATACAGATCTGTTATGATTTTTATATCCATTTTCAAACCCCAAAACATTGGAGTTAAGTTATTCTATAGCTATTTATTTTTCTGTATCAAAATTTGAACCGTCAATCAACCAAAATATTTATTACTGTTCCTGTAACTTAATTAAGATAATTTATAAATTTATAAGCAGACTAAAAGTACTTTATCAGAAGCAAAATTATTGATACCTAATGCTTTCTGCTTGATACATTATAAAATAAATCCTAAACTATACCTACGGTTATGACACAAATAATATTCCACCACAGTAGAAACATAGTTGTCAAAAAGAAAACCGAACTGGGTAAGAACACTTTTTTACAGCCTACACAGAGAAAAGCATCTTTACAAAATAAAACTCTTACTACTTATATGAAATTAAAAACACAGACAACAAAAGTCGGCAAACTTTAAGTTTTTTTAGAAGTAATGAACAAAATGTTTGTGGAAACCATTCTTCCTCATTGTTGGAAATGTATTTCAAAAGGTAACATAATACCTATTCTGCCTATTCTGAGAAAAGGGATTTGTGATAACTTATTCTAAAAGCTTAATGGATTCTTTAAAAAACTGGCCACAAATTTTGATGGGTGAAATTGTTGTAAATAATTGTCATAGTTTTTTAATTAAATTTTCTAAGAGTATTGCAAAAAGATAAAATTTGTTGGTGTAGCAATAGGTCAAAATGAATCATCATAATAAGTTAATTTTATTTTACAAAAAATGTTAACTCTTTTAATGAAAGCTACAGGTTTTTAAACTTTGATCAAGTCATCGGTTGCAATAGCTTTAAAATTAAAATTGAATTCCGTTTCTTTTTTAATTTGTCATGAAGGAAGCATTCTCGCAATATCCCTTATTTCTGTTTCTGAATCAATTCAATCTACAAACACCAGGTTAAAATCATAATATGGACTGAAAAACATTTAAAGATAAATTTAATAACTTATGAGTGGAATTGCAAATAAGTACCTTATACTGTTTGTAATACACTTACAACAATGAGTTAAAAAGAGAAACAATAAACATAAAGACATTTGGTATTTTGTTTCAATCAGAGTAAACGTTTGTACTAGCAAAGCATAACACAATACTGCAGGGTAAGACAATGGAGTCCAAAACACTTACATTGGCTAGAAATATTAAAGTAAAAACCCTACATGATTTTGAATAATTTAATCTAATTAGTTGTTAAAATTAATTGTTGAATTCTGATTGTACTCTACTCTTTTTTGTAAAATTCCCATCATAATAAATTCCTATGTTATAAAATTGATTTATTTGACGGTATATTGATTTAGTATGTAAAAAAATTAGACTTAAGACTTAAACTAAAAAAATCTGCTTTTTTAAACTGTTTTTGCATCCTGATAAAACGTTGAATCCATCTTTCACAAAAGCAGGCTTACAATAATTTTCATGCCCAAAACTAGGGAGAGGTTGGTTGTTATTTTTACAAGAGTCATGTGTACACTGATTCACTGATAAGGGGATCTGGAGCACCCTGTATCTGATAAGGCCGCACAGTTCCAACTTCCAAGCTAAGTAGACTGCCTAACAGTCTACAGCTTGGTTCAGAGAATCACGGGGGCCGACCTGTCGTTGGTTTTGGTCTTCCTCAACTTCACGGTGGCAAACATGTTGCTTCTGAAATAGGAAAACCATCGGTTAGTAAAGGTTAAAAATATAAACTTGAACGTAAATAAATTGGAAAGAGTTGGTTAGTTATTCTTAGGATTTAGTTTAGCACAAAGTCAGAAAATAATTAAAAAAATGTCCCCTGAGGTTTATTATTTTTATGAGGTTTATTATTAGTTACATAACATTAAAGTTCTTATAATGTGCCAAAGTTGAGATACACCAAAACTAAATTTTATACACAAAAATACAAAGCTTAATTTTGTCTTGTACTCAATGATGAAGGCCAAACCTGTCCAATTTATCAGAACATAGATAGATATAATGAATCTAATTTAATCAATCATGTATTAAAGCAAATACTAAACTATCTTGCTTGCTAATACAAAAACAAATAGAACACTCTCAGGAACTGGGTCAGAACCTGAATATTTTATAAGTAATACAAATATTACACTCATTATGCTTCTATGGATTTTTTTACCATTGATTGTCCCAGGGGTCAAACCACGGCTGGTCGTTCTGAGGTCGAGTCCGTCCATTCCTCCTAACTCGCTCCTCTTCCTTCCTCGGCTCCACTTTTGTCGCACTCCTTATCAACCTCGTCCTCGGCAGCAGTGTCGCCTTTGGTGCTTTCAAATGGTCGTCCACAACAATGCATGACTCGTTATCTTCCATCTCACTTTCTGAGGAGGTCTCGACACTTCCCCGTCTTGCCGAGACATCTTTCCTCTCACCGTTAACGATTGTTTCTTCTGAAACGTCTTCAGTGTCATCATCCAAACTTTTGCTCAAAGATAAACTCTTCTTCCCCGGAAGAGGCGTCCCAGACTCTTTTGCGATGTCCGTGACATCCACGAGTGAACGATGTTTCCACAGGGCCATTCCCTCTAAGACGTCCTCGCTTTTACGAAACTTCCACAGAGATTTTGTACGTTTAACTTTCTTCTCGTAAGGGATCTCAACGGACTTCAATGCCATCTCTTTTGTCTCAGGGTCGCCTTTTCGTCCGAGAGTTGTAATCACTCCGACGCTGGATGTTTGCCTCAAGGGACGATGAGACTTTGAGGATTTCTCGGTGTACCACTCGTTGGTAGCTTCACTCAACCACCCCCGGACCGAAGCAAGCTCTTTTTTTCCATTCTGAACGTGGCCATTTTCTTGTTTGTTGCGCTGATTTTTCATTGTAGTGGTTCGTCTGTTGGACCAATCAGGTTGTCAGAATTGGATTGATTTTTTCAATTCCCACCACCGACAAAAGTTTTTAGTCCTGTCACCACAGTCCAAAGTTTCTATTGCTACACCTCCACCATCAATGCTTAAAGGCAAAATTTATTCACTGCTAGTTTACACAAATAGCATGCAGCATAGCAAAAAAATTAAATTGTATTGGTAAGATAATTGTTAAAATGTTAGTAAAAACTAATGTTATTGTTAACAGTTAACAAACTATCACAAAAGCAACAGATCTACAACCGAACAATTCACACATAATTTTAAAGGGTTGTTATGTTTCATGCTGTTAAACATTACAATTTTTAAAACCACCACCTTTGATGTTTCCAGATTCAAAAGCTACAACAAGTTTACACTTAATTTTTTATTGACCGTACAAATTTTTTAAACGCTATCAAAAAATGTTTAAGTTATCAAATGCACTGCTTCTGTGCTCTATGGAAAAGCAGTAATTTTTTTTGCCTAAATCAAAATCACTTTTTTCCCCTCATCTCACATTTATTTACGTCTTCAATCCTACTTTTGTGTAGAACAAGTAGACCATTTAGGCCATCATCAGCCCATCATCGCACAAGTTCTAATAGCTCTATTGTGTTGATGTTGTAACATACAATTAAACACAACTGAATATAAAACCTAGCTAGTATGATAGAAAGCTTTTAGGCCTGGGTCAAACACGTATTCCACCAAAAATATTACTGAAGATGTAAGTAATAACATATTCAAAAATTCAATCTGTGCTACAAATCTGGCATATAATGTTATAAGCTATATTAACTCACCTCTGTTCATCATCAGAATAGTCGACCTCGGGTGCGGGGGGTGGGTCGTTGCTGAAGCCACTGTCATTTGAACTGTGCAGGCTGGCGTTGGCGGGGGGCACGTTACGCTTGGCACCGCTCGGCTGCCGGGGCACGGGCAGTGTTGTAGGATGGGGTGGAAGGGGTGGCAGTGGTGGCGGGGCCCTGCTCCGGGGATGAGGTGCCACGGGGGCTGGGACGCCAGGAGGTCCTGCGCTAAAAGAGGAGTCGGTCGTGGGTCGATTCTGGAACAAGAATGAACAATTAGAGATTCTATAGTAAAGACTAAAGAGTTCAATTGTGAATGACAGACAAGAGTACACAATTTAAAAATTGGATTATGGGAGTTTAACTCAAGGAAATCTAGGAAGGTGGCGTCGTTGTAGCTAATGACAAAACATAAATGCCAGTGCATTTTAAACTGTTATGCTCCCTGATGTTCATAATATTGGTTAAGATTTTAACCGTTAAATACGTCGTGATTCACTTTATTCTATTGCTATTTTATAAGATTATTATTTAATAAGTTTTAATCTTTTAAGTAAGTGAAACGCATCGTTGGATCTACCAAGTGCTTGAAGTCCTAACTTGGACACTGGTTCACCAGTGATAAGTCTACAGGTTTGAGTTCTCAGACTCTTACACTAAAAGTATTCTATTTAAGACACAAAACTATGTATCAACTACCATCAACCTGTGGGGAATAATCCATAAACAAAAAACAACAGTATTTGAAATTCAATAACCAATAGAAAACTCATCTAAAGAAATCTAAAACATCAATTCTGATAGCTCTTGATAACGCAAAATACCGGTATACATAATAGATGATCAAAAATACTGGTATAAGTAACATTAAGCTGATGTGTAGGGGCATACCTGGGTCTGCCTATAAGCAAGGGTATCTCCAAACTGTCTAGTGGTAGAAGGGTGGGGGTGAGAGGGGGGAGGGTGGTTGTTACCCGCACTGCTGCTGCCACCTGGTGAGCCGAGAGAGAAACCTCCAGGCGTTGTGGCTACAGAGTCCTGTCTGCGATGTGTGGGCGAGGACGTAGTCCTGAGAAAACAACAAAGAGTGAGTAAATAAAATGAGTAGGGACTATCAGAGGTATCGGTGCATTGTGATACTCAAAAAGCTTGTAATCAGATTGGGGTTAGCTTACTTAAAATATATAAAAAAAGATTCTTAAATGTTTACGATTTGTGTCTACATTATTGTCATGGAGCTGTGTATTGATCCAGGCTTAAAGCTGATATAGTAGAATGTAGAACTCCAACCATTCAAACCCCAACAACCTGAATCACCGATCGTAATTATCACATATAGAAAGAGATAAGAAGATGTAAAACTACAGTATCCTATGTAAGTAGAATCGATATTAATGATGGCAGAAGCCGACAAAATCCTGAACATCTCCCACGGTTGTGTGATCATTATCATAGTCTCCTACGATCATGGGAACACCATTATAATCTTCAGTGACCACAGCAAAATCTTGAAAATCTCCCATGGTCGAGGAGACATCTTAATTGTCTTCTGTAATTGAGGCAATGGCATGAATTTTTTTATCACGATTTTGTATAAAAATACCCCGAATCACAGTAAATTGGATAACTATCCAAATTTGACCATCCGAATGTGGTGCTGTCCTGATTGAATTGAATAATAAGCATTCTAATGCACTTATTCAGACTTTCTACCTTTATCATTATTTCTCTAATAAAACATATTGCACGGTTTTCCCCTCCATCCAAAGAGATGTAGCCTTGATGGTATAACATCCCAAAACCAACCAAAAACATTGTTTGTTTAAATATTTCTTCTTTTTTTGTCCTAGGATGCTAGGCCTTGAGCCCGGAATTGTTTTTCACATTACTTCAGGTTACTGAACAGTTTGAGTACCTTTGCCGATCATTTTTCAAAATGTAAAAACATTGTTGTATTGTAATTGTATTTGAAATAAATACTTACGTGACAGAATCATCAATGAGTGGTTCAGTGTAGGCGAGAGGAAACCATCCGCTACACTGAGTTCGCAGATTCTCTCCGAATTGCCAACCTTTGTTACGATCACCTGGAGAAAAACAACAAATGATTATGCTTGGGTAAATTATATTTATTGGTTGTCTTAAAACATCTTAATGTTAGTATCGTTTAAATTGATGCATTGACAAATTGGGATCTTATAGTGTGTACAGCTCCTGCTTATCAGAGGGCTCGGAAAAGTCTCTGATATTTCACTTTGGCACTGGATATCTCCAGATATCCCCAGGATTTTATTCAATGTTAAAATTTTTCCCAGGGTATTGAAAACTTTCAGAACCGCAGGTTATTTTTATGCTGATCTCTGATAAGAGTTGGTGTGATAGGTCCAGTAGAGAAAACAATAAGCCATTCTATTAGTTTGAATTTTTTAAACAGTGGGTTTTTTTACTTAAATCAGTTACACAATCTGTTGGTGACTCACATCAACTACCTATTACAATTTTGATTAAAAACTGAAGACAACTCTAACATGTGGAATGTAAATGTCTAGTATCAATTAATTGTCAAAGATTTTAGGTACATTCTCACCGGAGGATAAGATTCTATAGTTCGGCCGCTTAGAAAACGACCTGCGCGCTAATGCTAAACCAATGCTGGAGGAGGTCGCTTTCTAAGCGGCCGAACTATAGATACTCAAACCTCGTATAAACTTGTGTTTCACATATGTGATGGCAAATGTCCACAATAATTCTAGATCTGCGTCAACTCACCCATGAGTGCGATGAGGTCTCCCTCCAGGAAGCTGAGTTGGTTCTCGCCGCTGCTGAGGTAAGCGTACATGGCCCGGGCCAGTGGGGTGTCCCAGTTGTTGTGTTCGTCTGCTACAGCCAGACTCTTGGGGCGAGGGGAGGGAGAACTGCTGTGATCTGCTGCCAGGGAGTGGTTGGAAGCAGTCAAGTTAAAGTCTGACTTTGCTCTGAAAGATTAGATAATACATTTGTACGACGCCGACACAGCAAAGTACATTTTAACACACTTATCAGATGTTGTTAGACTATACATACAGGGAGTGTGATGGGTGGGAGAGAATGTGTTAAGGAAAGGATGAGTAATAAAATAAAGGATTTAAAGGATGAATGAATGAAATTATTATAGCTTTGTTAGCAAGATCAGCTGATTGTTTATTCAGGACTATTCATTGACAGTCAAATGATCAACACCAATACATCAAAACTCTTTAAGAAGCTAAATGCTTATGGAGGATAGTTAGACTGGAATTTTTCTGCCGATATGATCCGCGGCGGCCGCGCTACTCTATCTCTCTTCTTCTAAGCAGATTTTTTGTCTCACTCTCTCTCAGTCAGTCAGCTGACTTGGCCGCATGCTCGCGATAGCCTACCTAGCGGCCCCAGCGGAAACCATAAAAAACTAAAACATTTCCAGACTGAAGTTTTTACAAATGCATTGCGCTTCTTAAATGATTTGTATTCATTGACAACACTGACTCTGGTTTTGAACAATCAACTTCGTGACCTTTCTCAGGATTACACCACCAACCTTCTAATTACTAAACACTATGAACACTCAGCTATTTGAAAGACATAACCAATTAACAAATCCCTACAATTTTGCAGTACGAGAAACTACTGTGCAAACACAATCAGAACAAAAAATGTGAATTGATGAACATGAGAAAAGTATTATTTATGATCAAAGGTGCTCTAATTTCATAAGTTTTTGAGTAAAAATAATTTTTTTTTACTAAAATGGATGATTCAGTTCCTGAGTTGTGGGACATTATAATCACCAACCGTAGATCAGCTCCAATTAATATGTACATATTAATCTATATATGTACATGGTGATTAGTATCCTTCAATCATATTTTGTTTGAAATAAATGCCCAGTTGCACCCAACCATTGGTAGAAAGTTTAATGTAACTTAAGAAATCATGTCAAAACATTTCAAATGGGTAACCCACCTGGTAAGTGAATGATGAGTTAGTGTCGGACTGGAAATGTCGTTGATAGCTCTAACGTCAAGACACGAGGCGTCCATACTCTTGGTCTTGCGTAGTTGAGAAGAGATGGACATTCGATCATCGTCTATAGTGCGACTCGGAGAATGAACTGTGTCATCGTCCGACCAGAAAGACACTTGCTATAGAAAAAGACAAGTGGTATTAAAACATGGGAGATTAGGACACAATTCAAATGTAGGACATGAGATGAAGCATTAAAACTCTGGTTATCAATAATATTGAATGTCCCTAGCCGCTAAGATTAAACAGAACAAATAAAGTCACAAATGTGTAATGTTTACAACATTGTACCTGCGGCTTACTACTATTCTAGGAAAGATTGTCTAATGATTGGAAATGGTTAGAAGATAAATTAATGGATTTATTGGATTTCAGTGCAAGAGAGATGGGTAGGATTCCTTATGAACTTCAAAGAATATTTAGAGGTTTAAATCTATAGACTGCTCTTCCTTAAAATTGTTTTAGATTTGGTTATAGCGAATGTAGACACTAAGGTGTGGACATTAAAAAAATTTGTGTCAGATGAGCCTAGCGAAGATGTAGACAAGTGTGAAAAATATTTAGAGGTAGGAGAATGGACAGAGGAACTAATAGTTGTTCAAAAATAGCATTGAATTTCTCATTCTAACGGTAAAATACCTCAGCTAAAATTTCACCCTAAAATATAGCTGTGGGGAATTCCAAAAATAGAATTTAAGTAAAAATATATTTGTGATTTTAAAACATTAAATGGGTTTCTCTTTTAATGGTTGAAGGTAATTTTTTTTTTAAATTATGATTAAAATGAGTGGTCGTTTGATAAAAGATAAAAAGGAGGTACAATGACTTAGGTCTTTAAACGATTCCAGTAGGATTTTCTGCATTCCATGAGACTATACCAACAAAAACTTCAGCCATACCAACCTGTGTCAAGACTTGTTTAGCAAATTAATTGCATATTGTTTCATGGCTGAAAGAACAATGAGAGCATTTCAAATTCCATGAGAGGAACACACTGTTATTCATTACGCTAGGTTTGTAGTCCAGAAATAATTTTTTCTTATTATTTCAGACTGGACAAAGCAAAGAGGGTCATAGCGAATGTGTAATTGGAAATTAGCAGGACTTGAACCCAGGACCTTGGAGATTGGAGTCCCACCCTATACCCCTAGACTACCTTGCTTCCAAGGGGAACATGCTAGAATCATTCTCTACAGTTCAGTAAGGAGATGATATAACTCTTTCACTCACCCTGAGTCGGTTGGCAAACATGGTTTCGACAGACTCCGGCAGATACTCCCGAGTCTTGGCCACTTCCGTCCAGTTGTCTAGGTGAGCTTGGTATAGGTTCATGCCGGTCGTGTGGTAAGCCAGGTAGTGTTTAGCCAGGGAGCACTGTCTCTCCAGCACAAATCCATACCTTCTTCTCTCTTGGGTCATAGCCTAGAAAAGATGAAGTGTAAGAAAAATGATTGGGGGGTTCAAGTTTACTGTAGTTAGAGGAGCTACTCAGTGTTAGCTTATAGTGCTTAACAGACTTTTGGTTGAAGTACACATTTTGTCATCAAACCCCTCTGATAGAGAGACTCGCTGCTTGACTTATAAAAAGACTTTTAACACTTGTTGATGACCCGATCGTGATTTAAAATAGACATGTATTGTCTGTGCCGGCCACATAACAAATTTAAATTTGTTCAATATATTATACTCCTGTATTTTTGATGAAATTAAAAATATAGAAGTATTGTGTGAAGATCGGTTGACCTGTCGAAGGGTTAAGTAATAACACAGAGAAGTGAGATACAGAGGAAACATTCAATGGTACACTTAAGTGTTTTGCACTAGTCGCTAATGTATAGGGCAAAGTCCAACTACACCCTCCTTACTCTCACGTATTAGTAGACAGTAGTGGAGCTCATGGTGGAAGAAGACCCAGTGCTCTGGGCGATAGAAATTTCCGCACAGTGCTCACCGCTCAGGCTCTTCCTAGCTCGTCAGTCATCACAAGTATACTTTTTTTTAACAACAAGGAGGTTTTCTAATTTCCTTTGCATGTCTACGATAAGGATCTTAAAGGTAATACAAATTTTTAGGTGGAATAAGGAATTCTACAAGGATGAATACTTAAAAATATGGAAAAAGTATATAGGATATGTTCTGTGTGAGAAGGGCGTTTCAAGTGAGTAACTGCACAGAAAATAAGTCTTGTAATCTCGACAAGATTTCTAGAAGGGGCTGAGTAAATTGGACAACATCAGAGTATGCAAAGAGCTTCATTCAGTTAGCTCTTAAAATTAATTAAAGCGTATTTAATACTTCAAGAGTTCAACAGTTTTATAACAATGTATAATAATAGTACAGTGAATGAACAAAACAAATAATGCCATTTTGAACAATATATGCTAAGAAAACTAAAAATATCCAGGCCATTTCATGACGTCTTTATGTCTTACCTTCTCTTACTTATTTAACTCTCTATACACCAATTTTTTTTTTCATCATTATAAATATATCTCAAATTCCGATTCAAATATAGTATTATGTTTTTTAGAAATATTTCTAAAAATGTCAACCAAATAAAAAGTGAAATATCAATTAAATAAATTCCCAATTTTTAGTTTATAAGAAAGATACTCCAAATCAATAAGCTTCAAATGTACAGCAGCAAAGAGAGATCAAAAGGATAAAAAGCTTGGAGAAAAATGTGATTTTACAGGGATTTGCCATATTGATAAAGGGTGCAGTTAAAACCTCAATACAAGGCATCTCTTTCAACCCCTGATGTATTAGGGGTATCAGTTCCATTCTTCCATTGCACAAAAGCTATTGTTCTACTGTTCAAAACAAAGGCTACATGTCTCATTGGCTCATGTCTTTGAAATGAAAAATATTGATTGTTACCATCCCTCAATGATACTATGATAAATTAATGCTTCCAGCATCATAGGTTTAATACTATTTAAAATATCATATCCAATTGTGCATTATTATAAATTATTTAGATGGGGACACCACCTATGTGGTTATTTTAATGTAATTTTTTATTGGTTTTGGGTTTAAGTTAGTTAGCTTTTGGAAGACAATACCAATGTACACTTACAATAAAAATGATTAGGCTATTCAAAGAGTGTTATTCTAAAGCATGACATATGTTTTGTATGTTTTTCAGTTGGTTACTAAATTTATAAAGTTCAGGTTTCTGATGGTACATCATGATGTGAAAAATTGATAACAATAAACTGACATGTTCTATTTCATTTCTGTCTCTTTTTACCGAATCATAATAATATAGGTAACATTTAACAAATTCAAATTTGTTATTAAATTTAATCTCTCATCACTATTTAACCAAGGGCCCACTGGAAAAACAGGCCATTCTGCAGGGCAGTGTTACAGTGGTGGATAGTTGTACAGTACTTAATTCTGTCTTACAAACAGCCAGCTTATTTACCTAAACCATATGGGATATTGCAGTGAATCTATCAACAAATCTATCCACTAGTGTGAGTCATGGATCCTGCAGCATGGCCTGTTTTTCTAGTGGGGCCTTAATTTAACACATTCTCTCTACAATGAACACTATGCACCTCCATGCACCTTCCCCTAAAAAAAATCTTTGAGAAGTATTGTTATTTCATTGCTTTTTTCTAATTCCATTCAACATTTTCAGGGGCTGTGTTGCACCCAACTACAATGAATGATGTCATTTGTGTTTCACTTAGAAGGGGGAGGGTTATGGGGAGACAAGAAAATTAGAGAATGGGTGGTGATGGACTGAGGGGGAGGGGGGAAATTCAGTTAAGAATACATCACTTGAGGCGTGTTGTAATTATGTCAGTGTGGAATAATGTTTGCCCATTTTGACACCAACACACTCCCCCACCCCCTTATCCACCCTCTCTCTAAGATAAGTTTACAATCTACTGTTGCATTGTAATGCTAAACAAGAGGGGTAAGAGAACTCTCTTATCTCTTCAGATTTTGTGATAAGAAACACAACTTTGCTCACATTGTGTTGCTGAACTTTGTTTTATTAAAAGGTAGGGTGCAGAAAGAAGGTTGTTTTACTTGTCGACAATAGAGTTTTTTGCATATCCTACCATTAAAACCAACAAATAAATCAATATGGTAGGCCATTATATTTTAGTTTTACAAAATATATTAGTTCATTTGCTGTGTACAATAACAAACAATAAAATAACAATAAAAAAATACAATAAAAAAATTACATTAAAATAACCACATAGGTGGTGTCCCCATCTAAATAATTTATAATAATGCACAATTGGATATGATATTTTAAATAGTATTAAATCTATGATGCTGGAAGCATTAATTTATCATAGTATCATTGAGGGATGGTAACAATCAATATTTTTCATTTCAAAGACATGAGCCAATGAGACATGTAGCCTTTGTTTTGAACAGTAGAACAATAGCTTTTGTGCAATGGAAGAATGGAACTGATACCCCTAATACATCAGGGGTTGAAAGAGATGCCTTGTATTGAGGTTTTAACTGCACCCTTTATCAATATGGCAAATCCCTGTAAAATCACATTTTTCTCCAAGCTTTTTAGTTGAGGTGTACAATAACAAGGATGGAAAAATGTTGCAGCAATTAAATTTAAATAATTTTAGGCATACATTTAAATTTTATAAATTTGTAAAACAAATGAATTATGTATTGTAGAAAGAGAAAAAGACAAAGCATGTTTTTACAAAGGAAAATCTTTTTAAAAGCATCACCTTAGTTTAGACCTTGTTATTTAAAGTTATAATGTTGTACTTACATTTTTTAAGCTTTGTTCACAAAATGCGTCCAATTTTGATCTCTCCTCTTCCAAAACTTGCATACTCTGAAATATTAAAAATCATATTACTGCAGGTAACAAAATAACTATTACAGTTACTAAATAAGCTGTACTAATAAGCCATAAAAATCCATGTACTAGTTTTAAGTTATATTATTATATGATGCCATTGTGATTTCTTAATGAAATAACAAATAAAGAATATGTTGATTTGATTTGTATTTCATTATATTCTCCATATTTAAGGCTGACTTAGGGGAAAAGCTTCAATAATTATTTATTAGATTACTAAATATTAGGTATTTTCCAATGACATTAAACAATATAATTAACATTTATTGCTTTGGAGAGTGTAAATTCCAAAGAGAATGAACTAAAAAAAGTAAAAAAAAAAAAACAGTTACCAATTTGTTTCATAAATATTAAAATTGCCAGTTATACTGTATAACTGAGATGAACAGCTAGAGGGCACGAGAATAAAAACAGAGCCAAAAAAAAGGGAAACAACTGAAGAAAATGAATTTGCAAACTAAACAATAACATCCAACAGCTTTAGGCGGTTGTTGTAAGATGGTAAAATATTTTCTTCGAGAATCCTTTCTCGGAGAATGTTAGTTTAGCTGCAACCTTTTCTGTTTTCGTTGTTGAGAGAATTGTAAATGGAAAAATAGAACGTTAAAAAATGTTTCCGTTTGCCATCTAGAATAAATTATCGAATGTAGAAATTTATGTAGAATTAGTTTCAAATCAAAACTGAAATGTCTCAAAAGCATCTCAATATGCATGCATACTAATTATAAGTACTGTACAAAAAAATAAATCAAGTTTAAATTATCTATGGTTTTCCCCAAACGGAAAAAATAGCATATTTATAGACTATTAGAACAATTTTGAATTATACATGTTATTTTTGTAGATTTTTCATAATTAAATTGTAAAAAAAAAACAATTCTTGTGAGCAAAGAGATAATTTATAAAAGATTGAAAAAGCCAAATAATACACATAAAACTTTTACAAATAAATTTGTTTCCAAAGCGTAGTTACAATAGGAATAAAAGAAAGAATAAAGTTCTGTCATGGAACAAAAGAAAGTTGACTCACCTTAAGTTCCTTATCCATTGCGAGCCCCGTTTTTGTAGATCGTTTTTTCCGTTGCTTCTTCATAGTGGCCGCAGCTTTACTGTAGGTTTCTGACCTTTGTTTATGTTGTTGTAAAAACCTCTTTTGTTCTGACTGTTAACAAAATAGCACAACAATTAGTAACAGCGGATTTTCAAACATAGTCACTGAGTCGTTAGGTGACTTTTGACTCTAAAATTTGTATAAAGTTCAAATTATTTGTGAAGTCTTTGCTAATTAATATACATAACTGTTTCATTGACAATATTGTTATGATAATTGAGAAAACATTTTAATACCGGTTAGTTTGTGAGGAGTATTAAAATCTACTAACTTATAGGAAAGTAACTCCCCATGATTGATTATGAAAAAACTCATCTGAACTAATTTAGTTTTATTTTATCAACTTCGATTTAATTCAATCAGTTGTATGGAGGAATAAAATAAATAACCTAATTTAGTTATGTGTAAAAACCATGCAAAAAACTAATGTAAACATTTTTATTTGTATTTTATTCCCATACAAATCTGTATTTATAAACTTTGATATCCATGTCATGGAGCGTAGCCTAATGTCATGTTGAAGACATGCATATTTAATATGTGTGAATATATGTTGGCAAAATTATGATTTGCCATTGTGTAAAAAATAACAGCCCAGTTGGTTCAGATGTTTTTGCATCCCTAAACAGATAAACCCCGCACAGGTTTTTGCTGGACAACTGACGTCTGAATATCTCAACAATAGAGAGGTATATCAACAATGACCCTTTGAAACAAAAACAGCTGTGAAATCTTTAATGTACTCATTAAAGAAATTATCTGTGATAAACAAGAAAATATTAAAACAGCTAATATGATTATATACAGTATCATATTATGAGATGGCAATTCAATTATGAATCGTGCAAAAATATGGTGAAAATATGCAAATACAAACATAATGAAGGATATTGGAAACAAAGGAGGGGTTAAAATTCAGCCCTGCAGCACTCCATGCATTGAATGAAAGGCAGCCTTATTTCCATAACAAGGGAGGACCTAACTCCAAACTCCATTATATCCCTATAACTTAAAACATTGTGTTTAACAGATCAATTTCAATATTGATCAATCCTCTTTTGAAACTTACAGTTTGTAATTCAAGCAAAATTCAAGCAATTTCTTTCTGAGTATCTGTTAATCCAGGTGAATAAATACTAATGAATTGGTTGAAACATTGTGCCCTTAAAAATCCTATTAAGCAATACCCCATGATGTAAAAAGTTTCTAAGCTGGATGTTAATATTTATAAGTAGACTACCTGTGGAAACTGAAATAAACACAACGATGATTTTATATTTTCTCTACAGAATATAAATTTTTGTTTACATGTTAATAAAGTTGTTTGAGTTATTCTAACATAAGGGAATGAATTGAAGTGAATGACCATCTAAATAAAGTATTTTTAAAACTAAGTGGTAGGGAGGTAGAGTACAATGAATTAACTGTTTTGTTTCTATAATTAATAGGTGTGTAACTGTTTTCTAGAGAACCCTATTACTATTTTATTTTTACTTTGAGCCCCGTTTAAGAAACTTGTACAGACACGATAAAGGAATACAGGTTTATCCGTGCTTGACTAACATAGGGAAAGTGGCAATCCTAAAGATATTCTTGGGAATTTAGTCTCTGTTTTCCATCTCCTTGTTTATATCAACAATTATGTGTTGGAGTGGATTAGGTTATTGAGAAGGAAGAGTTTAACATGAAGTGCAATAAAATTCACATTCAGAATTAATTAGATCGTTCATTTTACTGTTAGGAAATGGTTTGAAATAAAATGTTAAAATCTTTAGTGACACCAATAAATGTTTAACCACACAAATGTGCACCTAAAGGAGATATTGATTTTGTGAAAATTTACGTTTTCCAGCTTTTGAGTTCAGATAGTTCTCAAATACACAGAACCTTACTGGTAGACCTACCTCGTTTGAAAACCTTTTAGTTTTCTGGAATGGAAAATCTGCAGCCCATAAGGTAGGTGCCAAACAAAAACGAGTTCATGGAATTAAAAAAAAGTTATTGGTAATTTATATGATTTGATCTTGGGCCACTAGGTCATAAGTCCTGTTCTCTAACCTCTAGATTTTGTTGGTCCACAAAGCTATGTACTAGCCCGGGGTTGTTTTTTACATTACTTCCGACTATCCCAAAGGTTGCGGCATTATCACTTACAATATCCATTGGCGATTTGGCGGGATTTGAACCCGGGACCTCAGGGACCTTAGTCCCGTGCTCTACCACTTAGATCAGCCCGCTCCCCTCTATCCACTAGACTAGAACCATTAATGGTCCATTATAAAAAAACAAATTATGGTTTTGTACTGAGCTAAAGGAATAGGTTTATATTTACCTGTACAACTTTGGTATCCTTTTCCAAATTAGTTTCAAGAGGTACGAGTAGGTCCACATAGAAGGCCTTGAGCTGAAAATAATGATAAGTTCACAAAAGGATTTGAGAATAATTAAATATAGTTATGTGCCGTCATGTTACAACATCTATCAAAGGCTACTGATTACATAGTGTCATTGTTGAAAGGTTCAATTAGTTAATTGTAGAAATAAATTATATACGGCTAACTTTTACTACGGCGAAATTACAAATTTTAATGTTAACTAACTCAAGCTTTCTTTCTTTTATTTTTTCGTTCCTTGTACAATTACAAGGTTTTCTATCAAAATATTCAACAGGAAAAATTATGAAAGTTTTTAAATACCCATAAATACTCAAAGCAAAAAACACAATAATTTCAAAACGACAAAAATAAAAAAAATACCTGTGATAAGAACACGTAAATAAGGGCACGAAAATGCTGAGAATTTCCAAGGGAAAAATTTAGGAAGTGTAAGGTTTTATCCCTTTGCGTGGCTATTTTGACAGTGATGGACTTCGGTAAGAACTTTGTGGGCTTAAGTAAAATGGGCTGAAAAATGAGATAATATGTCAAATGGGCAAATGCACTAGGGGCATTTGTGAGGAGACCCTCCCATCTTGAAATGGGCAATCACTCTGAGCAGGGAATTACTGAGGGACTCCAAAAAGGTTTTGGTCTTTTGTACATAATGTTCTGAAAAGTGGGGGTGCATTGAGGTAATAATAAGCCCTTTATCTAAATTGGAACTAATTGATTTCTAATATGGTATAAAATGGCACTGATCCTAAGTTATAAGGAATTTATCAAATATAAAACACTTAACAAGTAAAATTAGTTTTCTTAAAATGGTTTAAGAATTATAAATAAAATAGTTATGGATCATGGAAAGTATATTCAGATACATTGAGATAGAAGCTATTATTAGAAAGGTAAAAATAATATAATATTACAGCTGTACTTACAATATTCATTTGCTGTGCCTGAATTTCCTTGTAAACTTCAACCATTTTCATGAGGGCAGCCCCTAAAAAAAGGAATCAGGATTCAAAAACATGAACACATGTTATTCAAAAATATAACATAACACTTTAGTTCTTTGGAAAAAGAAATTCATGATTCATCTAAAAATATTGGTTATATCTTAGACTGTGTACATATATTTAAGATAGACATGCTTCTTTGTTTGCTAAAATATTATTGAGAGAAGCTCCTGCTTTTGTTTTACAAATCCTCCTCCTGAACGGCTGAAGCGATCTACACAAAATATAGCACAGTCATGGTCATAGGAACCAACCATGGGAAGGTATAAATCTGAAATGGTACAAATCGGACCACAGGGCTTTTCCCTACGTGAATTTTAACTTTTCGAAATTTAACGTGGGCCTTATGGGTTAATTGGTTGCCATGAAATTATAACAATAAAAAGGTAAACAAGAGTCCCAACATATGTTAGTCATAATCATCAAAAAATTATGGTTGCTATTTAATAGCACATTTTCAAATACCGAACATAGAAAAGGAATGGACAGTCGGATTAATATCGCTGAGCATAATTTACTACAAAATGAATAACCAATAATTAGGGTCGCCGGAATTAGGCTGATGCAACATTGACTTTTAAATACAAACCCTAAATAGCAATTCCATTTATGGTAACCAAATAAAGGCCTACCTATAGATATATTCATGAGTTTGGAGACTTCCATTTAAGGGAACTAGACGTACCATTAATGCAGACTTTGAATAGGTACTACAAATAGGAATTCCATTATTGTGAACCAAAGATACCATTGAGTTTGGATACTGAAAGTAGACAATTAAGCTTTTTGCAGGATTTAATATGCTAACTCCACCCAATATTGCAAAGCAGACAACTGCATTGTACACCTACAATAGTTATTTAATTTGCATACCATAATTGAATAATATCATTTGGTATTTGTATAACTCACATAAGCTGCTTTAATACAATACAATAATTACTACTTTACACTTATTCACTTATAAGAAAACGTTTAGAGCTAATAGGATGAAATCCTGGGACAGTATATATTTTTAATTACAAGAGTTAACATATAGGCAGTATGAATTTTAATTACATACCAAACATTACATTATGTGAAATGGTTAAGAAGCAATAGCAATACACAATTCTCCAAATTCTTCAAAAGTAAATTTTCTATGGAAATAAATTGAAAATGTTTGAATATTTCACATATTAATTAATTACTAGTGGTCGTCCTGTGGTCGAAACTCGACCAAAAATAATTAATGTACAGACTTCTCTATTTTCTCCCCACACTGTAAATAAAACATGTGATTGGGATTTCTTCCATTTGTTTTGATTTTCTGTTTACATTTTGTTGTTATTTCGTCACCATCATGGCAACCCAGTTGGTCCATGTTAATTTTTTGAAGTGTTCAAATTCGTTTTTTGTGCTTATTTTTTAGCCTATTTTAATTTATAAAGGGATTCTGCACATCTACAGGCAAAAATCTTTCTAACAGTATGCGTAGATTTCCCCTGCGATGCACACGAGCTGAGAAAAAAGGTTTTAAAGAAACATGCTTGCCTATTAATATATAGATTGGTAAGGTTAAAGGTATTTCTTCCTCTTAGATTGCTCTATATCCTCAAAGAGGCCTCAAAACTCAGAATATAACAATTTTTCAGTATTATTTCCTTTTAAAGGATGTTTTTGTTGTTAATTTACTTAATTTGTATACTAACTATATATTTTGTTGTAACTTTCATGCTTACAATATTTAATTGGAATGATAAATTGTGACAGAATTAAGAATAACGTGAGTTTATCACAAATCTGTTTACTATGAGAAGTTCAAATAAGAATGACATTGGCAATAAATTGAAACATTGAAGGGTGCAATTATTTGGGTAGATAAGGGTATCTTCATTATCTAGATCATCATAGGCCTATTGTCTTAGAGAAGAGTTACTGGTATATAATTTATAGGGACCAATATGAGTAAGGTAAATCAAACTAGCCCTGGCTCGCTTACTTTAACCATTGACTAAGGAAATAAAAGTTTTTGTTTCCCTTGTCTGTGTTTTAAACACAAATTAAACATACTTCCTTATAGATTCATCTCCCATGGATCAGCCAAAGACAATTTTAACATGTATTCCTGCAGAGATTGTTTGAATGTAAATTATTCCTTAGTTTTTCACTCACTAAAAAAAACTATCTATCCTTCGTTTTCCACTCACTTTAAGGGTGGTTTTAAAAACAATCTATCTAAGCATCTTAAACTATTGCATGTATGTCCTCTGGTAAAAACAAAATAAGGCTCACACTATAAAAAGTACTCTAAGAGAAAAACTGTTATGGTTGCCATTCAGCTCAATCAAATATAGCTGTAAGTAAAATATGATTGAGGTTCCAGGTTTTAAACAAGAACCAAGCAGTAATTTAAGGTAATCTTTAACTACATATTTCCATAAGCATAGCTCAAATTACAATGTTCATTTTTCAGCATTTCAACTACTGCCAAAAGGTAAAGTAATGTACAATAAAACATTGAACTTACTAGTGTATGATTTAATTAGTATGAAATATATTAGACCTAGTCAGAACATAGCGATGTGTTAAAAATATTTATTGATATTAAAAACGGAAATAATTGCATTAATTTTTGTTAGCATTGAATATGAAAAGTGTACCAGATACAGTATCAAAAAGACATTGGATCACAGAGAAAGTTTGAAATTATAAAATCTAGTTAGCACTGCATCTTAATGAATCTATGAATATCTGTGAAAGTAGTTAATCCGTGGTTAATGAAGCAGAAGATTCCATTTAACCATGAATGACGGCTTCAGTACATGGATAGATAAATTCATTTTATGAAAGCCCATAAAATGCTAACCAGAAATGATAACGCTTTAATCTTTGTAGGATAAATTTTAAATTTGTATAGTACATGAATAAAAAAAAGCGAAACAACGCGATACCAACATGTCTTATACTGGTAAATTTTTTAAATTTATTTAAATTATATGTCGTAAAATAATTACTACATAAGAAATCCACTTGTTTGAATACAACTATAAATTATTACATTTTGTTTCATAACCGTATTTAATTTGTTTTATCCGAAATGTTTAAGCTTTATTCTATTTCACGCATTAAATATATTTTATTATTGAGCACACTTTAATACCAGATATAAAAACTGCACAATATAATACTAGACATAATTTCTTAAGTGGCAGTAATTTTCATAAATTTAATAATAAATAGATAACTAGAAGAACTACTTTAATTTAATATATTTTTTATTCAAAAATTTCGTACACAGCAATGTTTTTCTCCCCACATGAAGAACTTCTTGTTTGGGGAGGGTAAACCCCTATATCAGCTGACCCTTGCCAGTATATAGCCCAGTGGGGTTTAATAAATCCCCTTTTATCTTTTCCAAATCCCGACCCTCACTGACCACTCGTCTACACAATTCCTCCCAAAAGCCTTTTTATTCACTGTAAATCCTCAAAAGCCACTTACTTTCAAAAGCCTTTGAGCAGGATGAATGAGTGAGGAATATGCAGTGCTAAGAACCTTAATGAATTAACTTCCAGATAGGGATATTTTACAAGTATACCTACTTTATATTATTAATAGATTTAAAAATAAATTAACTTACCGTCTACACCGTTATATTTGGCATTTGATTTGCTAACAGCTTAAGTTAACACAAATAATTATTAAATGGGATAGTGGGATGAAGCAAACACAGATTTAACATACAAGATGTCACCAAGCTTATCCGGACAATAGTATTGTTTGAGAACCATAGTTACATTACAATATCCATTACACATATTGATGCCTTTAGAAAGCGATAACAGTAACAGCTATCGCTATCTGGTATACAGACCAACAATGCTATATGATCATGTTTGAATTCTAGGAAAAACGAAATTGTTTACTCATAATTTAGATGAAAATAAATCAAACCAATGTAAAATTAAATATTTACCGAAGAGTGTATTCGTTTTTTTCCGAATCCATTTCTTGTCCAGTTTCAAAAACTTTCGAAAAATATTATTTCAAAATTAATTATGAGAAATAAATTTAAAAATTTGATTTTTCATTTTTAAGACTATTGACAGAACGTCAACACATTACAATGAATTATTGCGTTAAATCACGTCATAAAATGAGGCAGTAAGATTGAGGTATATTATGAGCAAATTATGCAATTACATCCCAAGAGGAAAGAGAGATGTAGAAAGATATCAGAAGAAATGGAACAGTTTGCGAGCTCTTAACAAAAGTCGCTAGTCATTGGACTGAAGAATACGCCTAATACAGTAATTAAATATTAAAAACTATTTCATAATTTTACCAATATCCGAAGAACCGCCCCATGTTCCTTGCTGGGACTGGCGAGCGAGTTTGGTGATAGCTTCTACGTAGAGTCTAGAAGCTGCCGCAGCCCCTAAAACATTAACATAACCCTTAACACAATAGTCGGGGCAAAAATTACAACAAGTAATTTATAGTAATAGCCAATACTCTATAATAGTAGTTTATGCAACGATCGCGTAAAGATAGTGTTAACGACACACGTAGAAAATTTTAGGTACGAGCCTTGGTGAGTGCCTTAAAACTTAAGAGTGTCGTACATTATTTACGCGAGTTACGTAGGCGGGTACAGTTTCTTAACTGCGCTACGCTAATATTGATTGAAACTATTGAACTGAAAATATTGATTAATAATCGATATTTTAAAATATATCTATTATAAAACTAAACTATCATTACCTAACCTAACCAACCAAACTTGCTGATGGTGAAAAAATCGCATGAAGGTTTACTAATCGAATCGATGGTTTCAATCAATATTAGCATAGCCCAGTTAAGAAACTGTACCCACGTAGGCTACACTATTTTACCTACGACCGGTTTTTAATTAGGCCTACTAATAATCACTACTCAAAACTTCTAAGAGAGGTTATGTTTTCGTTTAAATAACCTCGCATTGGCACTGACATTGATGCAACGACACATTATACCAAACACGAATTGCACCAATCGTTAACAATTTAATTGGTAAACAGCTGATTAATTGAAGTTCGAAGCATTACAATTTTACTTCTTCTCTCTCAATCCATAAACCTTATTGGTCCGTTACCCGGTTTGTTAAGTAAACAATACTGTTATGTGAAACTTTTCAATTCTGAAAACTGAACTGAAACGGCTACTTTATAAACGGTCGTAGGTAAACTCTATAAACGATTAAAGAGTATAAAGCAGTCTTATTTTTATGAAGTGTAACGCCAAATCAACTGAAATTACATTATTCTCGTTCAAACAATGTTAATTTATTACTGTGGACTTTTACTCCAGGTCTTTAAAGTTGTGAGGTGGGGCTTTATGAAGTAAATGTTAATTGGTCTCCATGGGAATTTTAAACACGATCTAGAATGTCAAAGTTTGCCTGTTATATTATGTTTATTATTGTTTTAATCATTCAAACAGCTGATTAAATTAAACAGCTGACTTAATTTACACATGGACATTTTTATATCTTTTCATATAACTATTTTAGCTACATAAAATCCTGAAAGAAATAAGTTTTATATTTTACTGTTACTAACTTATTAACAGTTAGTAATTTATTTTCAAAAGGAAACATAATATTAATATCATGCCAATTAGGAGGGCGTTTATAATAGCAAAATGTAGTTTTTTACTCACCATGTAACGCTTTCAGGTAAGCCTTTCCTGCATTTATCATCTGCCGGGCTCCTGGATTGAATTTATCCAGGATATTCTGGAAAAGAAAAACATTCGTTAGAATCATAAAATTGAACAATTAAAATGTATAGATAGGTTATAAACAACTTTAAATAGAATTTAGTTTTCAGTAACACCATTAAATGTTTGAAATTAAGGAATATGAGTATCGGTGTGGTATGTAGTATCATCAAGTAAAACTAACACAGATGTAATTTGTGTAAAGTCTTCAAATCGTCACTTAAAAAATAGACAGTATCAGCACCATGACACACACTTAAAATATATCGACCTTAAACTCAAACTCAAAGATTTTTACGATTACAATACTTTCTACATTGTACTATGTATAGAAGGAGAAAGTAAAAAAAATGATCACCATTACACTCTTTAGGTCTTTTTAAATTATTGTTTTCAGATGGTGATTCAACAAATATGTTCTTGTACAGTCTAAGGATGGCCATAATTAGGCACAGTAACTAGTTATTTGTGCAACTTAAATGATTACTAAAAACCAAGTATTAAATATAATTTTTAACACATCCTCATATTGCAAAACCCACAAATATCTAATACATAAAAAAAAGATAACATCTGGGCTTACAATAAAAAGTCGGCCAAAAGTTAGACATGTAAAATATGTCACATGGAAGAAGACATTCCCGCCTATACAAACCTACAATGTACATACCGGTGTAATAAATCGCTAAACCTTGTGCAAGTTTTACAGCCCATTGTTATTTCCATACAATACTTGAGACATCCGTTAAGTGGGTATACTATGTGGGTCTACTGTGCTGTCAAGTTGCTAAACATGAACCAAGTAGGTGAAAATATCACTGGGCGAACTTTGGAATGTTTGTCGCAATGAATAATACAAAGGTTTGTTTTGTCTCGTTGTTTATGGTAGGTGTGACTGTAAAGGTGAGAAGATGTGTGTTGAAATTATTCTTCACATATTTTCGAAATGCGAGTGTACTTGTAAGGCTCGGAACAATAAAGTAAATTTAAGGGATTCGCATTTCTACAAATAACATTAAAAACTGTTGGAAACAACCAAATTTGAATAGACAAGATTCAAGTTGTCTGGCACCAGTTTGATGCAATATTTGACTGTAAAGTGTACAAACTACCGTAAAGTAGACATTCGATTTATGTTAGAGTTGTGGCGAATTTAGAAAAAATACCCCCGCCGCAGCAAAACTTTAGACCAAGCGAATCTATTTCTGGCTGATTACATTTTTCCTCAAATATTTAAAGTTAACAAAATACTAATTTGTCAAGAAAACACAATACTACTAACTGTATCACAATTTCGCAAAGAAGACGCAACAATATATTATTTTGTTAAGGCGAATTTTAACTCAAATAAGAGTTGGGAAAATGAATGTGGGATTGACAACAATACATCACGTTGCTTCTTTAATGAGTAAGATCAGCTGTTTATTTAGTTAGAATCATTTTATGTATGGTTTTTAAAAATAGAGGTTTCTTGTTCAAATACACAGGGACTTATTCAAGTCCATTAGTCTTGGATTTTTCTTAAAGCTGGGTTTTCCTAGACGCGGAGTCGGCCAGCGGAGAGCGGACAACGGAGAGCGGAATTGAAATTAACATGGCATTCCGCTCCGCTGCTAGGAAAACAGTAACATTAAATTACCTAAGACAAGCTGAGTCCGCTCTCCGTTGTCCGCTCTCCGCTGGCCGACTCCGCGTCTAGGAAAACCCAGCTTAAACGACCAGTGCGCCTTCATCTTGACGCGAATTTCAAAACTACTGACTACAGAATCGAAATACTGTGCTAAAACTATTAGTAATTTACGGAATTTGAACTAGAGCCCCAGGAAAACAATCCCGTCCTGTAATCACTACATAAATCAACTAAAAAAACAATGTGTCCAATATCACAAACCTACTACTTTTATGTAATTCGAATAACTACTGTTTTACTTTTACACATATAAATATGCATACATTATGCCACATGAACAAATATAACCGCATTACAAAGCGTAGCTAAACCACACGTCCCACCTTAATCCCCACTTAACCCTGGGTCAGCCCCGGATTGTACAGGGGTAGTTTGTAGGGGGGAGGCAAAATCCAATCTCCCCTCCCCATTGGCCATCATGTTGTCAAAATGTTCTAATCGAATCTTCTTATTCCTTTCAATTGTCCAGGTGAATTGTCGAGCCTTTTGTGAAATTTCTGGTCTGAAGCCAGGGATTTATCAGAAGGGTGGTGTTACTTGAGTTAAAATGCTTTCTGAAATTGATTTATAACGTGTTAGTAGTTTGCAAAGTTGTAAAAATTTTAACTTTTTGGAACAAATTAAATTAGTACATAGGTTTTTCTGCTACAAAAGTCTTTAAACGACGGTCCCTTAAATATTTAGGAAAATTTCAAAAACGTATCTAATGTAGGAACTGGGACAGACAACTCATCCACATGAACTAGCTGTAGCTTGTTAAAATTTCAAATAGAGCAAGGGTAAATTAGTGTGGTAAAGTTCTATTTCTACCTCTATTTTCGATACTTTCGTAATTTATGCCAGAGTGTGTGACACAATGTATGCTAAAGTACGTTGTCATTTTAGTTGGCTTGGTTAAAAAGTCGATGCATAAGACAAAAATTGGCCAATCGGTAATTTACGGTAGTACTGTAGTCTTTTTCGTTGGTTTAATCCAACTATGACCATTTAAACTGTCTACAGCTTTAATATGGGAATTAATAAAAGTCCCTAGCCTCAATTGTCAAAGATAGAACGAAAAATTTCACATTGATAAAGTTTTCACCATTATAGAATAACCAGAAGAGAAATGGTTTATTGTCAAACGAAGAGAAATATGACAATTACTAAAAACAGGATTAACGTAGGAAAATGGAATGAAAACACACATGAAGAAAAACAGAACACACAAAACACCAACAAAAACGCGGAGGTGGGAGGATTGTAGAACGTGGAAAACCAACGGAGAGAATTATAAATGGAAAATAAAAGGGACAGTAAACCACAAGACGGAGAAAGGGCAGAAAATGAGGAGAGAAATGACGAGGAAACGTGAACGTGAAAGAACCAGAGAAAGGGCAGCAACTGGGGCAAGTGGCGAGCCGAGATCTTAGATCACGATCTGAAAGTAGCATCCACAAAACCGCAGTTGATTAAAGATAAACATTTGGTATTTGACAACGTCTAGTTCTCACAGACTACATCCGTCCTGAACAGTGATCACACTGGACCAGTATAGGCCTAGAGCTCTTAGGAAGAATCAGTGTCCAAGACTTATGATTTCACCTATAAAAAGTGTCTGTATTTTAAATTTATTCTGACTAGGGTTAACGCCAATTTATTTGCAAGCGAAATGATTTGGGTTTTTACACAATTACCAACATTTTTTAGCTTTTCTCACCCAAGATGGCCGACCACATTTGGACGTTAGTTGGATCTGGATAGGCGTGCTCCATCTATATGTATTGTGGTCGTTGGTTGTGTTCTGAAGTAGAGGTTGACATTGACTTTGAATTCTACAAGTATACGTATTATCGTATTAACTAAACGGCGAGCTTCTTGGCGAGCGAACTGTCTTTTCTTGGTACTCGGGATAACCGAAGCAGCAAATAAGCAAAAATCTTCCCCAACTGAAACTGAAAAAAATGGCGTTGGCGGGACCAACGCGTTTGATGTTTTGCAGAAATGCATCATCGAGACAAGCTACAATGCAACTGAATGAACTTTTGAATTTTATAATCTGTGTAAGAAGTATAGTATACTTAATTTGTACATAAACGAAATAAATGGTGATTGGCGGAAATTGAGCCCCGAGCCTTCAAGACGAGAGTATGGGCTCTAACTACTATAAATCCCGCAAATACGTGCATAAAGTACGAGTACTTACAGTACTTATAGTAGTAGTACTCGTATCGTAAATAGTAACTGCATTTATTCTTATTTATTTGTTATAGAATGGTGAAACTATAACTTTCACCATTGACATATGCATTTCATTGGATCAAGATTAGATCAGAACTGTTATAGTTCAATAGACGTCAGTCACTGAATTCAAGGTGGAACATCTGTATTGAGTTACAAGCCTGGATCGATTGGAAATAAGAAGTTCATACAGTCGGTCTTCAGTGTTGTGACAGAGTTAATTTTACAAACAACGTGTAAAAAACTATTATGTAAGATTTTGAACGACATTGAGTTGTTTAACGCTATTTACATTAAAATAAATAACCAACTTTAGTTTATTCCCTTACAAGATATTTTTACTATGTAATAAAGTTATACAAATTAATGTTTAGTTATACAATAACTAAGATATTAAATTTATTCTGACACTTTTGGGCAGTGTTTAATTTTTTAGCGTATTTGAACAGTCCAAACGTTTTAATCCAAGTGGACTACCCAAGTCCTTGCAAATTAAAAAAGATTATGCTTTTTGTGTTCATAATTATTTTAAATTTATTACGATTGGCAGCAGAACATATTTGAGTTTATATGGATGATTTCTAAAAGCATTGTTTTCACTGATCAAAATTCCGTTTCCTTTTCTCTTCTTCCTTAAGAAAAATGCTGTTCACACTTACTTAAGTTATTTAAATATTAAACTTTGGTAGTAATACAAATTCAGTCAAATCCACTTAACTTAAGCTAGTCCCATTGCTTCTCAATTTCCAAATGAACGAACAAAAAGGACGGAACTTTCTTCGCGAGGAAGGAAGCGACAGGACTTAGTTAAGCAGTTGAGATGCTAATAAGGCGGCTATTTGTTCGCAATGGCGTTCCTCAGGGCTGTATTCCTGGGCCGCTTTTGTTCCTGTTGCTCTTTGTGCTAATCCAGCGTGGACGATTCGTTAAAGTTTCGGGGAAGAGAAATTGTTCGTAAAATTGGGAAAGGATGAACAATCTCGATTAAGTAGGATTGTTAAACTGTCCAAAGTAATATTTTTATCAATAATTTAAGTGGGGGTAGTATTCAGGCTGAGTAAAAATAGTCAGGAGGTCAAATAATTAAGTTTAAATTTAAAAACTTC